GAGTCATATTTCACCTTATTTCCGGAGTTGTGAGAAACTGTTTAAAAGCCTGATAATTAGTGGCTCCAATGCAAATTCTTATTTCTCTTTCACTGTATCTAAATCATCAACACGCATGGAAGCAGCAGTCAAGAAATCAGACAACATATTGCATTGGGCAAATCTGCTGCACAAGATCTCTCTGCAGTATTGAAGAGCAAAGATGTCAGTTTGAGGACTAAGGGGTGCCTGACCCAAGCCATGGTATTTGCATGCAGAAGTTGGACAGTGAATAAGGACTACTGTAGAAGAATTGATGCATTTGAGTTATGGTGTTGGAGGAGAATACTGAAAGTACCATGGACTGCCTGAAGAACAAACAAATCTGTGTTGGAAGAAGTACAGTCAGAGTGCTCCTTGGAAGCCAGGATGGCCAAACTTCCACTCTCATACTCTGACATATCATCAGGAGGGACCAATCCCTGGAGAAAGAGATCATGTTTGGTAAAGTGAAGCGTTGGAGAAAAAGAGGAAGACCCTCAACAAGATGGATGGGCACAGTGGTGGCAGGACTGGGCTCAGGCATATAAAAAATGGTGAGGTCCCAGCTAATATTTCGTTCTATTGTACATATGGTCACTATGGTCGGTACCAACTTGATGGCACCTAACAACAACAAATTTAAACCTACTCCCCATTCTTGCCAGGTATATATAGTCTCATGGTCTCACATTTTGATTTTTCCACAACTTTCAGATTTTGGAAAGAATTTTTTTTTTTTTTTTAATGTGTATTGAGTGAAAGTGAAGGCTTACAGGGCAGATAATTCATTTTACATTCAGCAAATCATTGTAATGATTACAATCTCCTCCATGCACCCTCAGCCAACAGTATTTATTTCTGTTACCCTTTTTTTGATGTACACATACCACCTTGAAAATATATATATTCATGTAAATGTCCAAAGGGTATATTTTGCAAACCAATTTCTTGCTTATATGCACACTGCCTTTCTCAGTCCATGGGCCTACAGTCCCGCTGCTGCTCTATCTCTCTGTGCCATCGCCTCTGCCACCATCTCTGTTGTCACTGCTTTGCTTGTAAGGATCCCTTAATCCTGTCATATTCTTCCATCTCAATGGTCCTAGGGTCCTCTGTTTCTGAAATGACAGATTAACTGCTCCCCTCTTTTAGTTGCTCCTTTTCTACATTCTAATGACAATCGCCATTAGACCTGAACACAATGACTCACAACTGAATCATAAAATCCTATCCCCCTCATACATACATTTCATTTTGATGCAGGGGATTAAGAATGGAATGGTCAATTTGATGGTCTTTTTTAATGTTGCAGAGTTAATGAGAAGGTTCATCATAGAATTTAAGGAGGTGGGACGATAAGGTTATTCTTTGTTCAGAAGCCAAAGCACTGGTCATAATCTCCACTGGCCAACAAACCAGCCCTCTTATCTTCTCTCAGTATGTCTGAGTTAGCAAAGGACGGAGCAGGCTTTATTTGCCAACTCTTGGTTCTGTGCCCTTCTTGATGGCTGAGTTGAGTTGGCTGGATTTCCCTCAGAGGCCATCACTCATGTACCATTCTTTTAGAAAATCTCCTCTTTAAAGAGCTGACAGCCACTTGCTTTTTCCATCTTTACTAAGAACTAAAAGCCGTTCACACAGTTCACTTCTTCTCAAAGACAAACATTGTGCTTGTTTGTTCATCTATAAAAAGAGGAAGAGAGACCAATCATTCATGTGATGTCACTGTCAAGGCTTCCTGGAGGACAGGCTAGATAAATGGAGTAAAAGGCTGAACTCTCTCACAGCCTTCAGGGTTTGGATTTGATGGACTCTGAGAACCCTGAATGGATGCCTATTACATCATGCAAATGCTATGGAAAGATCTGTGCAAATCAGGCCTTAAAGGCTCTTATACTCTATTCCTGTGGGTTTCCACTCACTCATCCTGGCTGGCCCAACACTGACATACTTGACCTGTATTATGTTTCTGTGCACTCTCAGAGATCCCTCACTTGACAGTGACTATACCAAAAAACTTGGATTCTAGATGGGACAGGCTTGGGAATAGCTCTTTCCTCTGCCTGCTTTTGTTCCCATGAGTGGCTGACACAGACAAGGGGCATCAGTAGAAGTTGCCTGGCAACATAAGCAGATACTGGAATCAAGAGGACCAAGCAGGAGCCCAAGGAAGACAACAGTTATATTTGTGCTGATGTGATTTGAGTTCAGTTCATCTCCCCTCCAGAGAAGGCCATATTTCTCCAAAGAAACAGTGCTTTTTTCCCTAACTCATTCTGGTTTGCCCTGTAAAAATACCAAAATATGAAGCTATTGTTTCTCTACACATCCTCCATCTAGGTCTATATACTTCTGAGGGCAGTTTCCATTTCTCCCTGAAGAATTCTGTACTCTTCCATCAAAACAGCAGTTTTGGCATCTTTGTGGGTGGGACTCAAATCATGTCCCTTCTAAATGTTAAGTTTGGGGAACAAAAAGAAGTCTGAAGGGCCTTTTTCTCACTGATGGAATATTGTTTTCTTAAAATTTCTTCATAATAAGTCCCTGTATCTTGTATCTTTTGAGAAAATCTATCAAGATCACACACACACACACAAAAAAAAAAAAAAAAAAAAAAATTCCAATCATCAAAACTTTCTGATCTGACCTCTCTGCCTCAAATTTAACTTGTGTAGCAGATCTTCTTGGAAGCCATTGTTTTGACTGTTTGGATTTTTTTTTTTTGGCGTGTGTGTGTGTGTGTGTGTGTGTGTGTGTGTTTTTAAGGCAACCTCTGCTGTGGTGCTGTAGGATAAGCACTGGACTGCTAACTACAAGGTCAGACATTCAAACCCACCAGTTGCTTCTTGGAAACCTTATACAGGATCGCTATGAGTCAGAAACGATTGAATAGCACTGAAAAACGAGACTAAGGCAAGTACTGAGAGAACTTGTCTGCGACCTTCCAGTGGTTCCAAAGACATGTGTAAACAACATTTTGTTTGGAATAGACCTATGCATGTATGAACTGGAACTCTAGTATATCTACTGCTTGGCTGAAAATTGGCCCACAAGGATTTCTATCTAGACCTGAAGGGTGGTTGAGGGCCATAATCGCTGCTTATTCCTTTCTGACCAGTAAGCCCAGTATTTTATGATTATTATTTATTTTGTGTTTTGTTCCACATTTTCTCCCACTCTATCTGGGAACTTCTAATGTGATCTCTTTCAGAGCTGTTGGTAGTGGTAGCTGGGGACCATCTAGTTCTCTGGTCTGGAAGTCATGGAGACTGATTTCACATGTCCCATGAATCCATTGGACTAATTGATTCCAAGCATCTTCAGTCCTCAGCACTCTTCTTTCTTCCACACATGGAGAGACCAATAGCTGCACCTTAGATGGCTGTTCATGAGCTTTTAAGATCCCAGACTCTACTCACTCACCCAAGGAGGTAGATGTTTTTGTGGACTTAGTAACAATAGTTTTTTACTTGTCTTCACATACCAGAGTTCATCTGAGAGAGGAGAAGGAAAGAAACAGCAGATGCCCTTTTTATAACATGGGGGACTGAGGTACAGAGCTGGGGAGCTGCTTGGCTCCTCAGCCGTAGAGCTCAGCAGTGTGACTTGGATGCCAGACTCCAGCACTGGAGAAAGACATTCAAGAAATGAAGAGTGCGGGCTTATATCTTGTGGGATCCATTGCTTTCCTTTACCCACCTGAGAAATAAATCTGAATTCCCTGCTCTCTCCTACTCACCTGACCTTCCTTGTTACAATAAAAAGCTACTGAAGTGTTCTTTCCATTCATCCTTCCTCTGCTGACAGAGGTTGGTTTTCAGAGTGACCTGCATTCCTGGATGAATAGCCACCCTCTTCTCCCCCTCCGTGTGAAGAGCCACAACATTTACTGGTAGCTTCTTAGTTAGTCATCCTTTAGAGTGGTGAGAATGAACAGATTTCTGTTGACATGGGTGCTATTGGGGGATAATCCGCAGAACAAAAGGTGGCAGCCTAAGGGGTGGGGAATTGGGGGACTGAACACTGGTGACTGGGATCAGATTGCTAGGGAAACAGAGCAGTTATGTAACCATGTTTACTCTGGCTCAGGTGGCACAGAGAAGGCAGAGGCAGCCCCCTGACAAAAGGCAGTGCCCAAGGTAGAGAAAAGGCGGGCTCACAGGGAGGGAGGTCCCTGCTCAAAGATATGGTAGTCAGGCAAGGAGATAGCACTTTAGGATGAAAGGAATCTGTTCTGTTGACAACAGCTCAAGTTATCTAGTACAAACTTCCCTATCCTTAGCCTCTCCCTAAAAAGAAGCCAGCTGTGAGTTAGGCCAACAGCAAGTACAGCTGAAGCTAGAGGTAGACGTTGAGAAATCAGACACCTGGTTCTTGGCTAAATCTCTGGATCTTTATAATTTTTTTCCTGTTCATCTCATAGTTTTCAAAGAAACAGAATTCTTCTTCCTAAATGTGGGCAGAAATCAGCCAAGGTTCCTTATGTCTTTCTTGCCCTATGCTTCCACCAAGCTCCCATTCTCTCTTCTATGAGGTCAGATGGGTACCATGGAACACAATGGAGAGATCCCATTACAGACCTTCCTTTGTCCAAGCAGCATAAGACTGGGAAGGAGTCTTTGCCTTTTCACTGGTGGCAGAACAAATCAGGTTCTGACTTGAGAGAGAAGGTGATAAGCCCCGCAAAACAGGGGACTAGGGAGACAGAAGTCAAAGCAGCTTAGGAAAAAGGCTTAGGTCTCCACCTGGGTCTGTCCCACCTCTTCCTGCCAAGCTGGTCATTCGTCTCCCTATTCCCATAGTGATGAAACTGGTGGTCAACCCCCAGCTCCTTGCAGATGGCTGTCACCTCCCTTTGTGACAAACAGGAAGTTGAGACCTTTGTCAACTCAACTGCAACCTCTACATTAAATATTTCTCTTGGAGCCCAAGTCAGAACCCTAGAGAATAAAGGAAGCTTGCTCTTGGGGAGAGAGGGTATGTCCAGGATTCCTGGAGTTGGAAGATACTCGACTTCACCATCTTTGGAGAACAAGGAAGAAAATGAAAATGATGTGGTCCCTCCTATTAGTCCTTCCAAGGACCCTGACAGGTGGGAAAAACAGGTGACTCAGGAAATAGGCACATAATTTATCCCTGAGGGAGGGAAGAGGAAAATACCTAGGGGTGGCAAATATCCTAAATTTTAGGGGAGGGAAAAGGCACTTTCTTGGAAGCTTGGATCTGTTTCCCTATAAGCATCCCAATTCCGCTAGATGAGCCCATAGTGAAACCCATCTTATCTACACGTGGCAACCCTGCAGGCTCTGGAAAATAGATCTCTCAAGCCTCCTCATAGCCTAAACATCTCCTTGAGCAGTTTCTTAATGTGATTCTGTTTCATGCGTATTCACCACAACCAGAGATAGCTGTTTTAACTGAACAGAGAAAAGATGGGCGAAAACATCTAGTTTTAGCGAGTATGCAGTTAATGTTCACGTATTTTCAAAATCTATAGTTGTTCAGTCCGCAGAGGAATCTGAAGTTGCTCAGTTACTGTTAGCTTGGTCTGGGGTCCCAGATCCAAGTCCCAAACTAGAAGTACTTGAGAGTCTGCATCTTCACTTTCTACTGTGCAAACAGAGGGGATGAGGGGGCCTTGGAACTGCCAGAAAGAAATGGGAGCCAATGGGCGGGGCTCTTGGGGTTTGTGCCAAACAGCGGGAACAGCGGAAAAGCAGCAAGATCAAAATAAATACGGTTTATGGGAACACCAAGACCCTCCTAACCCCATCCTCGCCAGAAGGACCCCACCCTCATTCTAGGGTGTGGTGCGCCTAGGGGGCGGCTCCCTTAGATCGATTTTCGCCCGCGGCTATCCCCGGTGCTTGCACGTGTGTGTGTGTGTTTGCACATGTCCAAACACGCACAAAATCTCTTTTCCCCGAGGCCTTAACTATTTACGCTAGGCAGCTCTGCCTGCAGGGGCCCTCGCCGTTTCCTCGCTTATCTGGGTCCCAAGCCTGTCTGCATCTAGATCCCGTCTCCGGCCTCTCTGAGGCTGCGACGCCGTATCAGTTAGTTGCTGGCTCGACTTGGGGCCCACCGCTAGTTCTCGTTAATCATTCCTGCCCTATCCTGGCTCCAGCCGGCAGCCGCTCCCTTCCCACACGCTGGACGTGTCGCTGGAAACTCTGAGTGGCCCTCGCAGGCTCCCCCGCCCCCTGTCCGACGCCAGCCTTGTTGTGGGGGGTCCAGGGGGGGGACAGCTGGGAAACTAGAGCGGGTTCCCCGGGGACCCTCGAGCGGCTCCTCCCGGCGCCGCCTCCCGGCCGGCCCGGCCTCCCCAGCCAGAGGCCACTAGCGTCCCCGCGCGCGCCCGGCCCGGCCCAAGCCTGGTGGAGGGCACTCGCACGCCCTCGACAGGCGGTCCTCGAATCCCCGCCCTGCGTGCAAGGCGGGAGAGGGAGTAGCCGCCCCCCACCCCCCTCCGCAAACAGCCTAGATTGGAAACACAAACTCCCTCTGCCAACGCTCACGTCTCCTGCCTCCCGGGGCACGCGCCCTCGCTTGCTCACTGCCTCGGCCTCCCTCTTTCTCCTCGTGCGCCCAGTCTCTCGGAGCCCGGTCCTGACCCGGTCGCTAGGGGAGCGAGCACATCGCGGACTTCTTCTGAACCCCTCCCGAAGGACCCTCAGCGGCAGCGGCAGCGGCCGTCGGGAGTCGCGCAGAGATGCCCCTGCCCTCCCAGGCGGCCTCAGTCCCCGCCACCTGCTCTCCGGGGAAGGTAGGTGCCGGCTGGAGAGGGGGCGGGAGAGGGGCGGAGGCCGCGCGGTCGGGGAGGGACCTGGGAGCGAACCCAGTCCTGCGCCAAATCCTGGGGAAGGCAGTGAAGCGAGCCCCTCCCACCGAGGGGTCCTCAGAGACTGGGAGTCTTAAACTCAGGGGAGATGAGGTGGAAAGAGATTAGAAGTTCTTCCTTCCCCTCAGTCCAGAAAAGGGGAAATCTGAGAAACCCTCGTTGAACCTGCAGCTGAAAAGTACTTCGGAAAGAGCGTAAGGCCCCAAGGTCAGAGCCTATTTAGAGACGGGAAGGAGCTTTGCCAACAAAAGGAGAACTGACATCTCTTCCACCCCTTTGGAGCTGGTTGCCTGGACCTAAGGGGGTTGGGCGAATATTGAGAGGACATCAGGAATTTCCTGGCACCCTCTGTCATCGGCCAGATGCAGGTCCAATTCCCCTGGGTACCTCATTCTCCCTCGGAGACCCCAAAATCCGTTCCCTTCAAGTAGATTCCGACTCATAGCGACCTTGTAGGACAAAATAAAACTACCCTATAAGCAGTTTTCCGTTTGAACTCCAAGGTCGACAGTACAAGCTGCTCCTCGGAAAACCTATACAGGGTCGCTGTGGGTCGGAACCAACTCGACAGCACTTCACAACAACAACATAGGCAGTTTTATAAGGAGCTCTGGTAGCGTAGTGGTTACGAACCTCAATGTCAGCAGTTCAAAACTACCAGCTGCTCCATGGGAGAAAGATGAGGCATTCTGCTCCCATAAAAATTTATAGCCTTGGAAACCCTGTTCAGGGTCGCTATGGGTCGGAACCGACTCGATGGCACTTAACAACAACAACATAGACAGTTTCAGGCAGTTTTATAGGGCAAACCACAATGTTGGCAGTTCAAACCCACCAGCTGCTCCTCGGAACTGATTTGACAGCACTTAACAACATTAGGTTTCTTAGTAGGGAGCAGCCCCGGTGCCAAAACAGTTCAACACCAGGCTGCTATCCAAATTTCAGACCCACAGGCAACTCAATGAGAGAAAGACCGGGAATCGGCTTCCATAAAGATTACCCTAAAACCACACCAAACCCACTGCCATCCCGTCAGTGTGACTCATAATAATGCTATAAAATAGAATAGAACTGCCCCATAAGATTTCCTGGTGTGTGGCACTGTACGATAAGCACTTGACTGCTAACCACAGGTCACTGATTCAAACCTACCAGCTCCTCCTCAGAAACCCTATACAGGATTGCTATGAGTCAGAACCAAGTGATGGCACTTAACAACAACAAAGCTTTATGAAAGCAGACTGCCACATCTATCCTACAAAGTGGCTGCTGTCCAAAACCTTCTGTTAGCAGCTGAGTGCTTAAACACGGCACCACCAGGACACATCACTAGGAAAGAAAAAGACAAACCAACCCACTGCTACCAGGTCAATTCCAACATAAGGGCCCTATGGAGAGTTTCTGAGATTCTGAGACTCAGTCTTTACTGGAGCAGACAGTCTTTCTCATGCAGAGCAGCTGGTGGGTTTGAACTACCAACATTGTGGTTAGCATCCCAACGCCTAACCCACAATGCTACCAGGGCTCCAATCCCTATAAGAAGCCCTCCGTAATGTTTCCTGATAGGACTGCAAGAAGAAAACTCAGACTATTCCCCCACCCTGGCCCCTGTCCATCCCTGGAGGTTAGGCCCCAATGGAGCCTTGTTTGGGCAAAGAGGCAGGTTGGGGCACCAAGGGTCAGCAATGTCTGAAAACTCAGGTGGTTGGGGGACATCTCCTGTCCTCTCATCCACCACCCTAATAGAGGGCAGTTCTCACTGAACACAAAGGCGTAGGATGGGAGAAGCTAGGAAAGGATGGTCCTGGTCAGCTGATGGGTTGAGATTGCTTTTGCTGACCAGGCAACCTGACCTCAAGCAGTCAGCTGGGCAAGGGGAATTCCCTTCTTAGATCTAGTCTCCTTGGCCTCCTGGTCTCCCACTCTCCCCTGCCTCAGTTTCCCCCTACAAGGAAAAGAGCAGCAGCAGAGGAACTGGGGTGTGTGTACATGTTTTGCTTTTGGTAGGAGTCCTAATTAGATCCAGCTGGTGGACTGCCCCTCCTCCAGCCTCAGCCCTCCACTCCCCACAGCCAGGAATGGGCACAGAAAAGCTAGATAGATTAGATCCTCAAAAGGCCTCAGCTCCAATGTCAGAAAAAATCCCCACCCCCAAACTCAGACCAGAGACAGGGAGCTTCCCCCAGCATTGTCTGTGCCCTTGCCAACCGCCTAGGCCTGACAGTCACAGTCCCCATGCCCCCTCATCTCTTCTACCCCCCCCCTTGTAGCTCATGCCCTGTTCATGTGACCACCCATTGCACACACACCCTCATATAGGATTCAGCTGACACTTCTCTGTACCCACAACCCATGCTACTCACATGATCCCCAATGGTGGTACCCCCAAATGATAGTCACAGTGTTCCACCCTCATCCCACCCCACTACCCTCCACACAAGTGGAGGCACACACAACACTGCAGGCCCACACACAACACTGCAGGCCCACACAATCTAACACAGAGCAAAAAGTGCAGAACTAATCCTCTCCTGAAGGAGGAGGAGTTTGACTGTGCTTCTGGCCCAACCCAACAGTAGAAGTGCAATGGGACAGACTCCACACCATGGTTTATGGGGTAGAAAAGGCCTGTTGGGCACCCTAACCTGGTAACCTCTTTTTCCACCCACCCTTCTGAGCTCCCTTCCCAGCCTCCATATCTCCAGGACATCTCAGCCCCCTTCCTCTGACCTAACTTCTACATATGGGGCAGTAGCACCTATCTGGCCAGGGAAGAGCCTCCATCCAACTAGCAGCCTGAAGACAAAGGAGGAAATGGGGGAGGGTCCCCACATGTAGGAAAACACCTAGAGCACACCCTCCACCTGAGAGTAGGTCTGACCCATTGCGCTCTCCATCCCACCCCCCCCTCACTCTAAGCCTCCAGTCTGAGGAAAGGAAGCTGAAGAATGGAGTTAGTAGTACTCCCTTTTATGCTAAGGAGTGGTTCCAGCAGCCTGGAAATGTCCCCTGTCTTCCCTCCCTCCCCCCAGAACCTTGGCCTTGTTCTGGTGGTTTAGGGCGCCAATGCTGTTTCCCAGTGGGCAGTGGCCTTGCTGTTGGCTAGGGCCTTTCCTCTGGTCTGAGTCCTTCCTCATGCCTGCTGGCCAGCAGATACTGACTCTGGGAATGGGGGAGGCAGAGGGAACTGAAACAAAGTCCTATGGGCCCGGCCTAGCTCTGCCAATTTCCCTAGTTCCCCTCTGCTTTCCTCTGGGGGAGCAGGCTGTGCTGTACAGTGAGAGCCCCAGGGGGGGGCTGCCCAGCTGGCTGAGGCTGGAGCTTTGGTCACTGCACAGACCTGCATGCCCGAGGCTGCTCCTGGCCAGTCTCCCCTCCTCCTTGCCCAGGCCTTCCCCTCCCCCACTCCCACCAGGAGCTCCTGCCCTGGCTTAACAAGCAGTCCATTGTGCCTATGGCAGCCGGCCCTGGCAGCCTACAGGCCGGTGCCCACAGTAGCCTGCTTCCTGGGTCTTGTGAGCTCCCACTCAGCTGGCCCCAACAACCCCCTTCCACAGTCACCCCTACCCCCCAGGTCCAGCCAAGAGGGCATAAGCAGGAGATCTCAGCAGGACTTCCTTCTTCCTCCCTTCTTCCTTCCTGAAGAGGACACCCAGAGCAGCTGGCACAACCAGAGTCCTCTGACCTTGGCCTAAGCATGCAGGCCCCTCCTTGCAGCCTCCCTGCTGGGCTCAGCCTGGACGACTTCATCCCTAGTCACCTCCGAGCCCATACAGGTTCATTCTCGAGAGGGATACGGGTGAGTGAGACCACTGAAGAAGAGGGGCACTGTTTCCATGGTTGGAGGGTTGGAGGGGGGCACAAAAGATGAAAGAAATGAGAGGGTAGTCAGAAGCTGGCTCCAGAGAGACTCAGTGGTTTCCTGTCATTGGGATCAGGCTGGGCCTGGGAGCCTTTGCTGTCGGCTGTGCCCAGGGGTCACCCACCTGCTCGTCTGTGGGACCACCTGGGCCCTGAGCAGCCACCGCTCCTGGCCCCTCCTCACAGGTTCCTGTGATCCGGAATGGTGGCTCCAACACCCTTAATTTCCAGTTCCATGACCCCGCACCCCGGACCGTGTGCAATGGGTGCTTCCCACAGAGGAGAGATGCTCCCCTGCACCCAGGTGGGTCCCATGTCGGGGGTGGGAGGTCAGAGCTGTCTTGTTGTCTAGCACTACCCTGTGTGGAGCAGGAGGGACCACAGGGGTCGGGATGGGAATAGGGAGGGGGGTGTCTGAAGGCCATCAGGAGGTCCTACGCCAGTTGTCCCCCCCTCCCCCACCAGGGCTCTGAGCTCAGCTGCCTGCTTCCTGTGTGAGCAGGCATAACTGAGAGAGTGAAATCAGTTGTGGGAGAGAGTGGCTGACACATCCTTTCCCTTCCGCTCCGACTCCTTCCAGGGAAGGGAAGTGTGCAGAGGTCATAGTCATGGGGCCTGCCGGCCTCCAGGAGGCCAGGGCCTACCTTGGAATGGGGATGGAAGGGTGGTTCAGCAGCCCAGATGTTCACATGTTAGCCGGAGACTGAGAGCCTGTCAGCTCCTGGGGCCTTCTGGGTGCAGGCCAGCCCTGAGCGCCTTCTCCTGCAAACGTGTTATCCTTTATCAAGCATTTCTTTGAGGCAGCACTTACAATGTATTATATACTGTAAAGATGCTTTACAAAACCTTACCCACCCTTTTGAGCTCCCTTCCCAGTCTCCATCTCCAGGATGCCTAGCCCCTTTTCTTTGACCTAACTTCTGCATATGAGGCCGTAGCTCCTGATTGGTCAGGGAACAGCCTCCATCCAACTGCCATTGAGTCCATTAGGACTCATAGCTACCCTGTAGGGCAGAGTAACTGCCCATAGGGTTTCCAAGGCTAGCTTTCTCCCATGGAGCAGCTGGTGGGATTGAATCACTGACCTTTTGGTTAACAGTCCTCTGCTTAACCCACAGAGTCACTAGGGCTCCCTAGAAACCTTACCTGATTGAATTTCTCAGTCTCCTGGCAAGGTACAGATTGTTCAGCTAGTTGATTCCAACCCTTGGCTATTTGGCCCCCAAACCCTTATGCTGCTCCCCTGGCTTCTTGGGGGCTAAGTTCTGGGGAAGCTGAGGACACAGTAGCCATGTCTGGTGAACAAGCCTATGGGCTGTGTGTCAGGCTTTGTTGGGGGCAGTTGCACACCTACATCTCACTGAAGCTTTTTGTATCGATGACCCTCACTTCTCAGAACTGGAAAGTGAGGCACACCAAGATTGACTGATGTGCCCAAGGTCACACAGTCAGTCAGTAAGTGGCCAAGTCCATCTCTGAGTGCAGTTCTGTCCACTCCAGACCCATGTTGTTTTTGCTGCCCCAGCGGGGAAGTCCCCAGAACTCTCTGCAAGTAATGAGGGCTTAGGAAACTTAGGACGGCTCCAGGACAGTGGGGTGGGGTGAAGTAGAGGCAGGCAGAGATTTCTCAAAACAAACTCCATTTTCATTCTCTTTAACTGAAAAGTAAACATAACAGAGGCCAGTGGTACTTCTGGGGATGGGGAGGTGTGTAGAGTCTGCGTCATATATTCAAACAAACAAGATGTTGAAACTTTGGAGCCCACAGGGATCAATGTTCTTAGGAGCCAAGGGACACACAAGTCCGGGTGGGGACCCCGTCTCTTGCTAATGTTCTCTTGCACACACCCCACAGACACAGCCTGGTATCAGACTTGGCCGGGTCCCGGTAGCCGGCCATTGGGGAGCCCGAAGACCCCTACCCCTCAGCATGCTCAGAATTGGTCAGCCACATGGACTAAGGACAGTAAGCGCCGGGACAAGCGCTGGGTCAAATACGAGGGAATCGGGCCTGTGGATGACAGCGGCATGCCCATTGCTCCCCGATCCGTGAGTCTAGGGCTGGGGGCCAGGGAGAGATGGGGCCCAGGAGCTCATACTGACTTCTGTGGATTACAGTGTGTGTGTGTTGTGGGGGGGGGGGTGGTTCAGACCCCCTTGTGTGTCTAAGCTGCACAAGTAGTTTGTGGGGAGTGGGTCTTCAGTTCCCACCAGGTTCTCAGAGGTGGAGAGCCAGTGCTACGAGGGCAGCAGATACTGACAGGGCCCACCTGTGAGATGCAGATCCTAAGAGCCTGGGCTGTTGTTGTGTGCCATCTGGTGGCTTCCAACTCACAGCAACCCTGTATAGAGTTTCTAGGAGTCCTGGTGTAGAGCTGTAGGGTAAACATTGGACTGTTAACTGCAAGGTTGGCAGTTCAAACTCACCAGCCACTCCTTGGAAACCCTATACAGGGTCACTGTGGAACCGACTCAGTGGCACTTGACAACAACATAGGGTTTCGGAGCATCATCAGCTGGTGGGTTTGAACCATAGACCTTGAAGTTAGCAGTCCAGTACTTATCCTACAGAGCCACACCAGGACTCCAGGGCCTGGGCAAAATGATGAAATGGGTGTAAGTGAATCCTACCTGAGAAGACCCTGCACTGTGGCAGATGGGGAGGGTTTGAGGCTCCAGGCTGGGCGGCCCTGAGCTGCTTCCACACCCAGGTGCCTCTGGGCCTCTACCACCTCATCTGGAAAATGGAGTTAATAACATACCCTTCCTGCCTCCCAAGATACTTTGGAGACACAAAATGAGGCAAGGGATGTGAAATACCATCTTCCCTATATAGTCACTTAAAGAAGAAAAATTGCATACAAACATACGCTCTTTGTAGAATATTGTTATTTGTTACCATCAAGTTGGCCCCCAACTCAAGGTGACTCCGTACCTAAAAGGATCAGGCCTTTGTCACCTACGGGGTTTTTAGTGACTGATTTTTGGAAGGAGACTGCTAGGCCTTTCATGCTACTCCATGTTAGTCTGGAAACTCTACTGAAACCTGCTCAACATCAGAGCAGTTCAGAGTTTCCACTGGCAGACACGTGGTAACTAAACAGGAGGTGCCTTGGGTGGGAGTAGAGCCCCCATCTCCTGTATGGAGGGTGAAGTCCACCACTAAATTGCACTGCCGTCTACAGAAACACTGTTGTTGAGTGCCAACAAGTCAGTACTGACTCATAGGGTTTCCGAGGAGCAGCTGGTGAGTTTGAGCCACCAACCTTGCGATTCAAACAGACCTTGCGGTTGAGTGCTACACCAAGAAATATAAAAAAAATAGAGATTGTGAGTGGTCATCTAAGATACAACCCTATTCACATGGTCTCTACTCACATGGAGCAAAATAGAAACCAATCCAAGGGACTAAATAGCTCCTGCAAACTATAACCTCTTGAAACCCGAGACCAGAAGAACTAGATGGTACCCGGCTATTAATACCAATCATTCTGACCAGGGACATTTAGAAGGTCCCAGATAGAATGGAAGGAAAATATAGAACAAAACTCCCAATTTCTCAAAAAAAAAATCAGACTTACTAGACCAAAGGAGACTAGAAGAATCCTGGAGACTGTCACCCAAAGATAACCTTTGAACAAGAAATTGAAGCATTCTCTGTGGGTTACTCTTTATCCAGATAATAGATTGGCTTACCAAATAAACAATATCACCCCTGTGTAATATGCTCCCTCAAACAATGAACTATAGGAGACCAGTCAACATTTATCCACAAACAAAGGTAAGAAGACAATTGGGCCAGGAAGCTAGGTCAATGGAAACAGAACAAACAGAATGAAAGTAATGAAAATGTTCACACCTTATAAAAATTCTAACCAGTGATGTGGAACAATTTGAATAAAGATTGTTTAAAAACCCACTGCTGGTGATTCCGACTCATAGCTACCCTATAGGACCCCATTGGGACTGCTCCATAGGGTTTCACAAGCTGTAAATCATTACGTAAGCAGGTGGTCTCATCTTTCTTTCAGGAAACAGATGGTGTTTTTTGAGCTGCCGACTTTGGTTAGAAGCCCAATGCTTAACCTACTGTGCCAATTTTCTGTATAAAGTTTCAGCTATTACAGAATAATATATATTTTTTTAATTTAAAGGCAGAGAAAAAAATGTAAACCCAGTATTTCATGACTCAGTAATCATCATCGTATACACTTTGATGCAGACTGTTGCATGTGTCTTATCCATAAACAAGTCATACGCAGTCATTGCTATTAAAGATAGTACAACAGAAAGTTCATCAGTGAGACTTCAAGGATGGCCTGAGAAAGGGCTCCTTAAGGAAAAATGTCTGTGGCATGACTGATATTGGGAGAATCAGTGAGCAATGAGGCCTGACCATGCCTTTTCTCTTCCTAGAGTGTTGACAGTCCCAGGGACTGGTACCGGAGAATGTTCCAGCAGATTCACAGGAAAATGCCAGGTGAGATTCCCTCCCAGGACCTCACCTATTCAGAAAGTTATTTCTCTACCCACAGTAGACTCTGTGGTGAGTGGTCCCTAAAGCTGGCCCAAGAAAGGAGTCTCCATTACCCCCCACCCCTGGTACTCAAGGCCCAGCTGTGACCTCCAGGACAGTGACAGACACTGTCCCTTGGTGTCCTCCCAGAATACTGGGAAGATCTTTCCTGAAATTTCTGTGCTTTTCCTGTGAGGCTGAGATTCCACCATTAGTGGGTTGTTCCTCTTTATGAAGTGTTGCTTTGTTCCATGAACTTAAACAGCCAGCCCTGGGAGGTACATATGAGCTTCCCACAAGTTCACTCATTCATTCAATCAGTCCCTTGAATATTTATGGAGTACTGACTACGTGCCAAGCACTGTTTTAGGTGCTAAAGATATTGGTTGTTGTTAGCTCCTTTCCAGTAGGGCCCTGATTCATGGTACCCCATGCACAATGGAACAAAACGCCATTTGGCCCTGTGTCATTCCCATGATTGGCTGATTTTCAGATCGCCAGGTTTTTTTCTTCCTAGTCAGTCTTCGTCTGTAAGCTCCACTGAAAACTATTCAGATCACAGATACTCAACATAAACTCCACTAACAGGTGACTGGCTGACTGCCCTTGAGGGGCACTGGCTGGGAATCAAACCCACATCTTTCACATGGAAGGCTGAAGATACGACCAAAAAAAAAAATGTTCCTGCCATAGTATACTTACATTCTAGATAGAGGGAGACTCCCACTCAACAGAAAAATAAGCAGATAAAGAATTAATATGGCAGATGGTGGTAAGGGGGTCAGTGGAGCCCTCTGAGCAGAACTCTGAATGAATGAAGAAGTAAGAATGGCAGATAACTAGGGAGGAGCATGCCTGGCAAGTTCTGGAATAGCAGGAAGAGGCTGGACTGGAATGAGAGAGGGCCATGTGATAAGAGATGAAGTCAGAGAGGTAATGGGGTCAGATCACAGAAGCCTTGTGGACCACTGTAAGGACTTTAGTTCTGAGAGATGAGGAGGCATGGGGAGGTGACATGAGCAAGACAGTGACATGATCTAATAGTGGCTGGAAAGATTTACCCTGACTGTAGTTGTAGAAGAGATGGAGGCACAGGGGTGGAAGCAGGGGACCAGTTAGGAGACTTTGTTTCATCCAAGCTCAAGATGATGGTATCTTGGACCAGGGTGGTAGCAGTGGACCTGCTGGGATGTGGTGTAGGATTCAGGATACATTTTTTTTAAAGTTTTTATTGTGAATTATGTGTTAGTTTACATGCGTAACATTATCTTTACATTCATCCTCTCATATTTTGTTTCATTGCAATGATCACAGTCCCCTGCATGCATACCCAAAAGGTATACCCCACACTCCTGGCCCCCCTCTCTCTCCGAGTCCAGAGTCCCCAGCCGCTCCTTCTGTCCACGTCGTTGCCTCTGCCTCCATCCCTAGTGTCACTGCCTTTCCAGACAAGGTGTCACACTTTGCTTTTCTCCCTTGATGGTTCCAGGGATCTCCACTCCTGGACTGCAAAATCAGCCGCTCCCCTCCTTTTGTCAACACTCACTGTCAGACCTGATAGCAATCATTCCCTATTGAGCAAGAGGGGAAAGGAGTCCTTTCCCTGTCACCTTTCATTAACTTCATCCAGACAGGTTGGAAACAATTCAGTGGAGGTTCTACCTTTCCCTGTATCCTATGGAACTAGGTTCCCTATTGAAAGCTTATAAGCCAGTCACTTCTTGCCTTTGTAGTCTCCCCATTTTGGGTAACCAATGTCTAAGTTCCCCCTCCCTGTTGACCCTGTGTACCAAGGGGGTGAGAATGATCCTGACTGTAGAGATTTGTCCTCTCTTTTGTCATACTGCATCCACAAGCATAGGTCAGGATCATCCACTTATAGTGGGTTACTCCTTTTTTTTTTTTTCTTCCCTCTTCTTTCAGGATACATTTTGAAGATTACTGCTGTTGTTGAGTGCCATTGAGTCAATTCTGACTCCTGGCACCCCTAAAGGTCAAAGTAGAACTGCCCCATAGGGTGTCAAGGCTGTAAGTCCTTACTAGAGCAGGTCTGTCCTCCCATGGAGCTGCGGATGGGTTTGAACCACCAGCCTTTCCATTAGCAGCTGAGCACTTCACCACCGTACCACCAGAACTCCTTATTTTAATGGTTGTTGTAGTTAAGTTCCTTCTAGTCAGTTCCAACTCATAGTGACCCTGTACAGTCTCCGAGGAGTTTCTGGTGAATTTGAACCGCTGATCTTGTGGTTAGCAGTCCAGTGCTTATCCTACAGCACCACACCAGGAGTTATGAGAATTTGCTGATGGATTGGGCATAGCATGAAAGAGAAGAGTCAAGATAATTTTAAACCTGAACCAACAGGAGGATGGAGTTGGCATTTGTAAAGATAGGGAAGCCTGTAAGAGGAACAGGTTTAAGAGGAATCACATCTTAATAGATCGCATCCAGGTAGATATATTATAGGAGTCCTGGTGTGGAACTGTGGGTTAATGGGCTGGACTGCAAAATCAGTTTGAACCGAAAGGTCGGCAGTTCAAGCTCACCTTGGCGATTCAAGTTGCTCCTCGGAACCCCTACACTTGGTTGCTATGGGTTGGAACCAACTGGACAGCACTTAACAACAAAGTAATCCTAATGTGCAATCAAGGTTGTAAATCATGGCTGGGAATGGGTAGTATTTTAAAGATGTTAAATCCTATGGGCCAAGGCGCTGGACTGCAAAGTTTGAACCGCAAAGTTGGCGGTTCAAGCTTGCCAGTTGCTCCTCAGAAACCCTATACAGGGTCGCTGTGGGTTGGAATTGACTCGACGGCACTTAATAACAACAAGAAGACTAGACACAGTCATCTAGGGAGGCCCAAGAGGTTTTAGAGATGAGCAGGAACCAGCAAATCTGGCTCAGAAATTGCAGCCAGGGAGGAAGGAGGAAAACAAAGGGAGTATGGTCTCTAGAGCCAAGTGAAAAAGCAAGGAGAGATCCCGCTGTTGGTGGGTCAAATCAGATGAAGACTGAGAATGGACCATTAGATTGGTAACACTGAGGTTACTGGGGTCCCTGGGAACAAGAGTGGTGGGTCCGAATGTCTGATTAGAAAGAATGGGAATGGTGAGTTAGGTATGGACAACCTTTACTACAGAAAAAAGCAGAAAATCCAGAAGCTGGAGGAAGGCGTAAGATGGAGAGAAGCGTGTTTTCATGTGTTTAAGGCCATGTCTGCGTGCAAAGGGATCAGATTAGTTGGTCAATAGCTTTTGCTAGAAGACCTCAGAAATCCTGGGCATCATGAATGGGTCTGGGCCGGAGGAGAAGGATAAACATCTAGAAATGTAAGCAAGAAGGGAAAGAGGGAGAAGAGGAAGTTGCATTTCCCCACCTGACATGGCCAGGGCTGGTCCACAAAGGTCAGGAAGAGCTTGCCTGTGGGAACGCAGGGAGGGAGGAGCAAGAGGTTTTGGACAAGTAGGTTGACTGCCCAGGCTTGGTTCACACAGGCCCTTAAGTCTGCCAGAGGCATTTCAAGCCCTCCGGAGAGCTGCCCGCCTAATTCCTTCCCTCCCTTGGGACATTCTTCAGGCCCTGACTCAGCCCCTCCGCCCCCAGCTCTAGGCGGAGGCTGGAAGCGGCTGAGGCTTTTGGCCCAGCCCTGACTGTGTCCTTTCTGCTCTCACAGACCTGCAGCTGGACTGGACACTCGAGGAACCACCTAAAGGTGAGGGGGTGCCAGTAATCCCAGGCCAGAAAGCCTTCCCAGGTCCTACCTCTCCAAAGCTGGGGTGTGCAGCTGGCCTGGCTTTGGGGCTTCCCAGTTGGTTTAGTTCAACTAGAGAAGTTTTTATGGCTCCATTTCCGGTGAGCTCCAAGTCCTCTTTCTCTGCTCTTGGTTACTAGCATGATAATTAAGAGCATCAGTTTTGCAGCCCAGCAAATTTTAGCTCAGCCACTCCCTGGTGTGATTTCATTTTTCTGGGCTCCTCTTGCCTCATCTATAAAATAGTGACCAACCTACCCTGCAATTACTTTGTAGGAGAGCATGAAACTCTGGGCACAGAGTTCACATTAAGTGGCTGGGGCACCTCTCTTTCCCCACCACCCAACAGGTGGAAGTGGGTACCAGAAGTTTAAATGAGTACCCAGGAACACCCTATTCCTGCTCCTGCTGCCCCACATCCCCTCTCTCATCTTCAGTGGTTTCCTTTTGTGTCTCCTCAGTAGATTCAACTCATCCCGGACTCCAGCGAAGACCTGCCTCCAGGACAGGACCCGTGGCAAGGCAGAGCCTGTGAGTTTGGGTGGTGGGAAGGGGCTTCAGGGCTCTGAGGGGGACCAGTGCCCCCTGGTGGCCACAGCTGGTGCAGTCTAAGAGTAGGAAGCCAGGGTCTGTCTGGCTCCCCACAGGGCACTGTCTTTTCTTAGGGTACTGCAAGCCCCAGAGATCCGCCAAAGAGGGAAAGATGGCAAGGAATGGACCTAGCACCCATTCCTGATGAGGAATGCCTATTATGTTGATTATCGATAGCAGGAATTCATCACTTGCTGAAATTTACAGGTCCTATGGGGTGGGGAAAGGAGCTCTGGTAGCGTAGTGGTTATGAGTCGGGCTGCCAACCTCAAGGTCAGCAGTGCGAAACTACCAGCAGCTCCGCTGGAGAAAGATGAGGCATTCTGCTCCCATAAAGATTTACAGCCTCAGAAACCCTGTGCAGGGTCACTGTGAGTCGGAATCGACTCCATGGTACTTAACAACAACAACAACATGGGGTGGGGAACAAGGTGACCCAGAATCTGGGAAGATGTTTGAGAAGGGTATGTTGTTGTTGTGTTGTTAGGTGCTGTTGAGTTTGTTTTGACTCATAGGGACCTTTTGCACAACAGAATGAAACAGTGCCTGGTCCTGCGTAAACCTCACAATTGTGGTTAAGCTTGAGCCCATTGCTGCTGCCACTGTGCCAATCTATTTAGTGGAGAGTCTTCCTCTTTTTCACTGACCCTCCACTTTACCTAGCATGATGTCCTTCTCCAGGGATTGGTCCCTCCTGACAACATGTCTGAAATAAGAGATGAAGTCTTGCCGCCGTGGCTTCTAGGGAGCATTCTGGCTGTACTTCTCCCAACACAGATTTGTTTGTTGTTCTGGCAGTCCATGGTCCTTTTAATATTCTCCTCTAACACTATAACTCAAATGTATTGATGATTCTATAGTCTTCCTTATTCAGGGTACAACTTTCACATGCATCTGAAGCTATTGAAAATACCATGGCTTGGATCAGGCACACCTTAGCCTACAAACTGACATCTTTGCTCTTGAACACTTTAAAGAGGCCTTGTGTGGCAGGAGGAACCCAAGTTTCCACCCACGCTTCTCCTGACCCAAAGAGGAACCCCACCAGGGAGGTTAAGGATGAAATTCCTTTCCTCTGTGCAATCCTCACAAGTCCAGTGGGGCTGCCAGAGCTCAGGAGGGACTCAACCTGACCCTCAGTGAATTTCTTATTCCTTTTTAGGAAAGGATTAACCACACTGTTGTTCAGTACTGTCAAGTCGGTACCGACTCATACTGACCCTGTGTAGAGTTTCCAAGGCTTTTAAAATCTTCGCAGGAGCGGAAAGCCTCATCTTTCTCCCTCCGAGTGGCTGGCAGGCTCAAACTGCAGACCTTGTGGTTCACTCACGGTCCGGTGCTTATTGTATGAATCCACTATGCTTAGCATAACCAGAGTTGGTCCTGACTACTGGTGTGGCGCTGTAGGATCAGCACTGGACTGCAAACTTAAGGTTGGCAGTTCAAACCGACCAGCTGCTCCTCAGAAACCCTATATAGGGCTGCTATATGAGTCGGAACTGACATGACGGCATTTAACAACAACAACATAGTAAGGTAAAAAGAGCCCTTACGGTGTAGAGGGCTAAGTGTTGGACTGACTACCGAAAGGCTGGCGGTTTGAACCCACCAGCTGCTCCTCAGGAACCCTATATAGGTCACTATGAATCAAAACTGACTTGATGGCTGTTAACAACAACAATATAGAGTCACAATGAGTCAGAGAATCAACTCATAGCAGAGAATTTATTTAGTAAGGTATAGGTTTAGAGTTCAAACTTTGGGATCAGAGCTCTGTGTTCAAGTTAGTGTGCTTCCATTAGCCTGCAACCTTGGACCACTTAACCAATCTGAACCTCCGTGTCCCTATCTGTTAAGTGTGGGATATAGGGCTATCATTGAGGATTGAATGAGATAATGTGTCATGCTTGGCACATAATGTTGTTGTTATTAAGGGCCACCAAGTCTATTCCGACTTATAGTGACCCTGTATAGGGTTTTCAAGGTTTGAATAGCCGACCTTGTGGTTCATAATAAGCCTCCATACACATCATTATTTTACAGGTTTAATTATTAATAGAGCTTTCTTAGATTACAAATGACACGAACCTTTCAAATTTTCACTTTTATTATTGCTAATATAGAATAGAATCATAATTACTGTCACCAGATCCTGACCCTCAGATCAGACATTCCACTACTTGATAAGCTTGATATAGTGGTTCCACTTGTTGGAAACCATAAAACAAAATAAAGATGGGAACACTGAAGCCAGCCAAGAAGGGGTCCCTGAGGAGAGTTAAACCAATGTGAAGGCAGCACCTCTGAGGCTGGATGGTTTCACAGATAAGGTTCCCCTGAGTCCAGCCCCTCAAGGAACGAGGCCCAGGAAGAAGACAGAACTTACGCAGAGCCCCGGGGCTCTTTCCCCTTCCCCAGAGTTTTCCTTGAAGTATAACTAGCCTAGGCAATTGGGCTTGGGGCAGGATCACTCAGCCTCAGCAACTGGACAGACCAGCCTCTTCAAAGCTGCATAAACATAGATAGCTGAGATCACAAGGTTGGACAGAACACAATCATATCCTCCAGGATACAGAGTCGGAACCAACGTGACAATACACAACCACTTATGAAGTAGATGTTATGTGTCAGGCCCTCTCCTGGGCACCTCATACTTGTTCCCTGTCAAAGCTGCACCACACCCTTAAGAGGGGGAAATAATTCCCACTTTACAGCTTTGGAACCCAAGGCTAGCTAGGAGAGTCAGTAACATGCCCAAAGGTCACACAGCTACTAAGTGGTGGGACTGACATTTGAATACTTTCCACTGTTGAACAATGCTTCCACACTGCAAGCGGGAGCAGCCATTTGGCCCCTTAGCCCAGGGCAGGTGCTGGGGATGTGTGTGTGTGCAGCTCCCGCTAACAGGGCTATGTGCTCATGTATGCCTCAGTTTCCCAAAAAGGAAACTGAAGAGCTGTCCTTCCGTTTCTTCAGAAGAAGCTGGGGCCTCTCTGAAGAATTTCCTGGAAACACCTTCAACTGTAATTCTGGAGCATCTTCTTCTCTGCTCCAGACCCCAAATCAGGTAGCCTGCCCAGCATCCTCCCCACATCACCCTCTAGCATAGAATACAGATGATGCCTCTTGAGCTTGTGTCCTGTCCTGTGCAGCCCAGAATTCCTTGCAGAGCACTAGTGGGCATAGGGGTGGGTCAGGGGCTGGAAGCCTGCTTTCTTAGCCTGGCTAGTGTCCTGGTACTCCTCTACTCAAGCTGATACACAGTCACCTCCATACAGGTGCCCAGACACAGAGAGAGAGTAGACAATGTCTGGAAGGAAGACTCCTGGAATCAATTTATGCAAGAACTAGAGACTGGGCAGAGAGTAAGTGTCAACTGGGCCTTCTGTGGGTGGACACAGAACAAGTACTTTGGAAAGTAAGTTCATCCCTTGTAATACATCCTTCCTTATTCTTCAGCCAAAGAAACCGCTGGTAGATGAGCCTGTTGATAAAACCTCTCAGCCCATTGAGGTGAGTGCTGGGTGGGTGAGAGAGGAGACAAAATTAGGGGGGATATATGAGGGGAATTTGGAACCAACTCCACACAATCACCACCACCTAGGTAGGGTGAGCACCAGTGCCCATGACCAAAGACGACAGAATAAAAACTCTGACCCTCTCTAGTCTCATCAATGCCATGGATTTGGCCTCCAACTCATGGTGACCCCTGCACAATGAAACAAAATGAAGCGCTGTGGTCCTGTGCCATCCCCCCAGTCTGCTGCAGATTGGACTGTTGTGACCCATGGGGTTTTCATCGGCTGATTTTCATAAGTAAATTCCTAGTCTTTTCAGCTTTGCTGAAACCTGTTTAGCATCATAGTAGATGCTCAATAAACATGTGTTGCATAAATGTGTGTGGACTGAAACAGAAACAGAGAAGGGGATTAGAATTGTCAGGAAGTATTCTTGAAGGTGGGGCTAGGCTTTCAAAAAAGATGGGAGGGTTCAGTTGGGCAGAGAGAGGGATATTCTGGGTGGCAGAAGCTCAAGTAAGGGCCTAGAAGGGGTGTGTATACAACAGCAGACTTGAGGTGGGTAGTGGGAGGGGCAGTAAAGCCAGGCTGTGTTATTGTTAAATGCCACTGAGTGTGTTCTGACTCATAGCCACTCTGTATAGGATTTCCAAGGAGCAGCTGGAAAGCTTGAACAGCTAACCTTGCAGTTCAAACCAACCTTGCAGTCCATCGCATTAACCCTTGGCGCCACACCTCGACTCCAAATCCAGGCTGTACAAAGCCATGAAAGACTCCATGGGAGAGTGCACGGTCTGTTTGAACTACAAAGCCTGTGGTTCAAACCCACCAGCTGTTCCTTGGAAACCCTATACAGGGTGGCCTGAAAAGCACTTAACAACAACAATAGGGTCAAGAGGGAGGAGCTAGTTGAAAGTTTGTTGCCAGGGGATACCCTCTTGACACCCTTAAACACACCTCCCTACAGGCACAAGGCCTGCCCTTTTACCCAGACATAGTGTGCCCTGTCCGGCTGCCCACTTGGTTTTTCACATCTGACCTTTGACCAGCCCCATCCCCCAGCCCTGCACCATTGCCCAAGGTCTCTACCCTACCACCCCACCATCCAGGTCCTGCTGGAGAGAGAGTTAGCCAAGCTGAGCGCGGAGTTGGACAAGGACCTGCGGGCAATTGAGACCCGACTGCCCTCTCCTAAGGTATCGGCCTTGGGTCTTAAGTATACTTAAGAACCACCTGGGAGATCTTGCTGAAATGTAGAATCTGATTTCAGTATATCTAGGGTGGAAATGCAAATTCTCAGCGGGGGTGGGGGTGGAGGGACCCCCGAGAACCGGAACAAATCAGTCCTGGCCAAGGTGGGAGGACAGGCTGACCAGAGCTATCATCTCTGGCTACGCACCGGCTGCGATCCTGGGCAGATTGCCTCCCAGTCAGTTCTTGCCTCTACAAAATACCAGGGCGTTAACGTTTCTAAGTGACCCCTAAGATCTCTTCTAGTCTGATACCACGTCAGCCTGACAACCGGGTGCCAGGGTCCGCCCCCACCCCAGCCCTGCCCCTACTGAACCTCAGGCCGGACACCCCCCTCACCCACTCCAGCTAGACACGACACGACACAACACACAACACACACACACACACACACACACACACACACACACACACACCTTCTCCCCTCCCTCTCTCATAAAAGGCCCAAGTTTCCCGAGCCTCTCCGTCTCCAGACTCTTTCCCCACCTCTGCTCTTCCGCCACTCTACACGTCCCTCCCCCTTCTCCTCCCGAGTCCTGTCCCGCCTGCGCGCAGGAAACGCTAGGACCCCGCGTTCCTCCCGCCCCTCCCCAGCCCTTCTTCCCAGCTACAAACTTTTCCGGAGGCGGAGGCCTGGCTAGCGCTGGGGCCCGGGGTCCCGGCACTAAAGGGCCACGCCTCCCTGCACAGAGATCCCAGGCGCCCCGACGGTCTCCGGAGCAGCGGCCCCTGGCCCGGTGAGTAGCTGCGGCTGCCGTCGGGATGAGGGTCTAGCGGAGGTGGGCGGAGGGACGTGGCGCGGGGGCGGGCCGGGGCGCTCCACTATCCACCCGGACTGGGCGCGCGCCGGGGGTGGGCGAGCCTGGGGGAGAGCCGAGAGGAAGGGCCTAGAGAGCCACCGAGGGGCGGCAGGGGTGCGGCTCAGCCGGGGGACCGCCCCCTCGCCCGCTGAGGGACACTTGCCTCAAGCCCGAGTCCTTCGGTCGCTGCGACCAGCGGAGCGCCGTGTGGAGAGCCGCCACTTCGCACTCGCGCTCGCGCCGGCTTGGCCTCCTCCGGTCTCTCCCTGCCCCAGGCCTCACCCTTTCCTGCCCTTGGCTGCACGGGAAGTAGGACATCCTGTTGAGAGCCCAGGACTTGGGAGACGCCTTGGGAGGCGGTGGTGGCGGCAGCCGGGATGGGGAGGCATTTGGGAAACGGGGGAGCTCTAGGGGTGAGCCGGGTAAGGTGTGAAGCTCGAGACAGGTGGCTCACTAACGGTGTCCTTGCGCAGCCCAGCCTCAGCCTGGAGCTCCAGCTCCCCGCATGCACTTTACCCTGGTCCCACCCGATCCTTGAGCCCCCACAGAATGGCAGATGGAGGAAGCCCCTTCCTGGGTCGTAGGGACTTTGTCTACCCTTCCCCAACCCGAGGTAAGGACACCCTCCTGTATCTCACCCAGGCGCCCACGCATCAGATATGCTGATTGATTCCTGGAGGGTGGGCGGAAAGAGCGCTGGTGGCGCCATGGGTGCAGCGCTGGACTGCTATCCGCAAGGTCAGCTGTTCATACCTACCAGCCTCTTTGGGAAAAAGATGAGGCTGTCTGCGCCAGTGAAGAGTTGTTGTTGTTGTTGTTAAGTGCCGTCGAGTCGGTTCCGACCCATAGCGACCCTGTACAGGGTTTCCGAGGGTTTAAATCTTTACAGGAGTGGAAAGCCTCATCTTTCTCCCGCGGAGCGGCTGGTAGTTTCGAACCGCTGACCTTAAGGTTCGCAGCCCGATTCGTAACCACTACGCTACCAGAGCCGCGGAAACCCTAAAGAGCGGTTCGTTTTGCCCTCTAGGCTTTCTATGAGTCGGATTCAACTTGATGGCAATGGAAGGGAGGTTGGAGAAAGATCCTAGAGCCCCTGTAGTGGGGGAGGGGTCCCACGACCCCTTTTGAATCCCACCTTCCAGATGTGGCCTTCCCAAACTGAGTTAGTGCTTTTCCACAGACTTTAGTGCCTCTGAACCAGGGGGCAGCCCAGTCAGGAAGGAAGAAAAGAAGGTAAGCAAGGGGCTCGGATCAGGGTTCAGGGAGGACCTGAAGTGGGTCCCCGAGGTTGCTGTTCTAACCTGTCCCCTTTCTGACTGAGGTACCCGCCCCCCACCTTATTTCTCTCCCCCTGTGCAGATGAAGGCTGCCCGGCTCAAGTTTGACTTCCAAGCACAATCCCCCAAGTAAGTGCCCCTTCTCTCCCTTACTCTTCCACCCAGGGGCAGAACCCCCACAGCTTCAGACCCAGCATAGTGGGGGAGGGGCCTGAAGACATCATCAGAAAGATGAAAGGGAGTTTGGAGGTACTGGATAGGGTCTGAAGGAAAGGAAGCTCTGAAGAAGGCTCAACGTAGCCCTGGTGTCCTCGTTCTGGTTACAGGGAGCTGACTCTGCAGAAAGGTGACATTGTCTACATCCACAAGGAGGTGGACAAGAACTGGCTAGAGGGAGAACACCATGGCCGGCTGGGTATCTTCCCTGCTAATTATGTGGAGGTGAGCAGGAAGGGATGGGAGTAAGCTGGAGTCAGGGTGAGAGGCTTAGAGTTAGGACCCCTGTGTCTGTTGACCCTTGTTGGGAGTTGTCTGGTACCTCATTTCTCATTGTTTCCTAGGATGTAAAACTCTGTGCTCATGGATGTCTCATTAATGTCCTGGACCTCCAAAAAGCTTATCCCAGTGCTTTGCATGCAGGAAATGATATCCAAGAAATGTTTGTGAAATGTAGACTAAAGGTGTAGACTTGTACCTGATTCCTGGACCACAGTCTACCACCCTGGTCAGTGTCAGACTTTCAGCACTCAGAATCATCTCTCTAATGGCTGTCCCTGGGAATAATTATAATTGCACCTGCTAAGTGTGTCAAATGATGGTTTACGAATCACGTAAACAGTTACTGTGGAATGGGCACATGGCGACCCTGTGTGTGTGTGTGTGTCAGAGTATAACTGTACTCCGGAGAGTTTTCAATGGCTGGTTTTTCAGAAGTTTATCACCAGGCCTTTTTTTCTGAGGTACCTCTGGATGGACTCAAACTGCCAACCTTTTGTTGCAACCTTTGGTTAGTAGCTGATTGTGTCAACTATTTGTACCACCCAGGGACAAATCACATATATATGTAAATAATCACCTCTGTGTGTGTTGCCTTCCTTGTTGCTCTCATTAACCTGAGAAGTGATAGAGTATTATTCCTACTTTACAGATGGATTTGCTAAGATTCAGAAACAATGTATTAAGTAATAGTTCAAAGTCAGGTTCTAGAGTTTGCAGACATAGGACTATTCAGGTTATTTTAGGTATTTGTATCTTCTCAAGGAAATTCAAGTTATCAAATTTATTTTTTTGATAATACTTCTTTGTTATTCTTTTACTATTGATCAGATCAATAGTGATGTCCTCTTTTTCATTCCTGATTTTGGTCTTGTGTTTTATTTATTATCTTCCCTATTCTTATTCTAGTTCCTTAAGGCTCCTAGATTATTAATTTGAAGCTTTTTGTCTAATATTGCTGGTAAGTGCCATCGAGTTGGTTCCTACTTATAGGTCCAGTGCTTATCCTACAGCACCATACCAGGATTCTATTTGTCTAATAAAAGCATTTAATACTATAAATTTTCCTATAGGCACTGCTTTAGTTGCATTCCAAATTTTTATATCCAATTCTCAATTCAAAACATTTAAAAGACTTTTTGTGACTTCCTCTTTGACCCATGGGCTGGGTTTCAAATTCTTGATCTGAAAGACATCAGTAGACCTCCCTTTTCAGGACAAACTGTCTGATCTTGAAATTCAAAGTATGTACAGTATTTTATTTTATCAGTCACTTACGTATCAGTGTGGAATAGCTTATTGACTTTTTGATTTTTGTGAGTGGGGTGAAGTGGAGAAAGCATGAGTGTGCTGGGCACCTGAGAATAAAAGGGGCAGAGAAAGAGTAACACTTGGTTCTCAGTAGTGATAAAATGTTAAATCCTCAGCTTTAGAACAGGTTATTTACTGTTCTTCTTAGAATTCCCCATTTCCTTTAGGTGCTCCCACTTAAAATTCTCAAAATGTACTTCCTTCCACCTTGGAGTCTCTGCACTTGCCCGCACCACATACCTCTACTGAAAAGTCTTCCTCCTTGAACTGACCGCCCCAGGACTTGTGTCTGGTATCTGTATCGTGCATGTCTCTGGCCTGGGCTCAGACTTTGCACATGCCACCTTCTCTTCTTTTGTTTTTCATCATCTCTTTGTTGCTTCTCTCTCTCCGCATGAGCCCTAGGTGTGGACCTAGTTGATGCTCTGGCTCAAGGACTGCCTGACTTCTGACCTTTCTTCTTGTAGGTGTTGCCTGCAGATGAGATCCCCAAACCCATCAAGCAGCCGACCTTCCAGGTGCTGGAGTATGGAGATGCCTTGGCCCAGTACAACTTCAAGGGAGATTTGGATGTGGAATTGTCCTTCCGCAAGGTGAGACCCAGCCGGACAAGGCGGTGGGGAAAAACATAGTTAGATACATGCAATAAAAACATTTTTTTGAGTCAGGTATACCCATTGTAACCCAGTATTTCCGTTTTTTTCCCCCAATCTCTAAAAATGTCTGTCCCTTCATTTGTTGTTGTTAGGTGCCATTGGCTTGGTACTGACTCATAGCAACCCTGTGCACAACAGAACAAAACACTGCCCAGTCCTGTGTCAACCTCACAATCTGTGCTACACTTGAACGCACTGCTGCCGCCACTGTGCTAATACATCTCGTTGAGATCATCCTCTGTTTTGCTGACCCTCCACTTTACCAAGTATGATACCCTTTTCCAGGGACTGGTCCCTCCTGATAATATGTCCAAAATATGAAAGATAAAGCTTGACCGTCCTGGCTTCTAAGGAACTTTCTGGCTATACTTCTTGTAACACATATGTGTTTGTTCTTTTAGCTGTCCATGGTACTTTTAATATTCTCCACCAACACCATTACTCAAATGCATCAATTCTTCTACAGTCTTCCATATTACAATTTTCACATGCATACCATGGCTTGTGTCAAGCATTCCTTAGTCATCAAACTGAAATTTTTGCTCTTCAACACTTTAAAAGAGGTCTTGTGCAACAGATTTGCCTAATGCAATACGTCGTTTATCATTTCTTGACTGCTGCTTCCCTGAGTGTTGATGGTTGATCTGAGAAAAATGAAGTCTTTGACAGCTTCAATCTTTTCTCCATTTATATTGTTGTTGTTGTTATGTGCTGCGGAGTCCATTCCGACTCATAGTGACCCTATACAGGGTTTCTGAGGCTGTAAATCTTTACTGGAGCGTAAAGTCTCACCTTTCTCTCACGGCCAGCTTGTAGTTTCGAACTGCTGACCCTGAGGTTAGTAGCCCAATATGTAACCACTATGCTACCAGAGCTCCTTCTCCATTTGTGTGGGTGTTATTTATTGGTCCTGTGGTAAGGACTTTTTCTTTACATTGAGGTGCAAACCATACTGAAAGCTGTGGTCTTTGATCTTTATTAATAAGTATTTTAAGTATTCTTCGCTTTCAGCAAGCAAGATTGTATCATCTGCATATTTCAGGTTGTTAATGAATCTTCCTCTAATCCTGATACCACATTCTTCATCATATAATTCAGCTTCTGGAATTATTTGCTTAGCATACAGATTGAGTAAGTATGGTGAAAGAATACAACCCTGGTACACACTCTTTTTTATTTTTAAGCCATTCAGTGTTCCCTTGTTCTGTTCAAACAACTGCCTCTCAGTGTATGTATAGGTTGAGCACAATTAAATGTTTGGAATACTCATTCTCTGGAATGCTTTCCATAGCTTGTCATTATCCACACAGTCGAAAGCTGTTGTGTAGTCAACAAAGCATAAGTATCCATCTTTCACCAGAAAGTATCCTTTCAGCCAGTATCCATCTAACATAAACAATGATTTCCCTTGTCCATGTCCTTGTCTGAATCCAGCAGTTCCCTGTCAGTTTATGGTTGCAGCTGTTATTGTAATTTAGCAAAATTATACTTGCATGCAATATTAGTGATATTGTCCAATGATTTCTGCATTCTGTTGGATCACCTGTCTTTGGAATGGGCACAAATATGGATCTATTCCAGTCAGTTGGCAAGGTAGTATCTTCCAAATTTCTTGACATAGATGAGTGAGTGCCTCCAGTGTTGCAGATTTCAATTTGTCTTCCATCAGTACCCGGTTCCTTGGTCCTTGTCAATACTTTCAGTGCACCTTGGATGTCTTCCTTCAGTGTCATTGGCTCTTGATTGTATACTGCGTCTTGAAATGGTTGAACATTGACCATTTCTTTTTGGAACAGTGTGACTCGGTATATTCCTTTCATCTTCATTTGATGTTTTATGAATTAATTCAGTATTTTGTTCATAGAATCCTTCAATATTGCTTGAATTTTTCCTTCAGTTCTTTCAGCTTGAGAAATGCTGAGCATGTTCTTCCCTTTTGGTTATCTACTCCAGGTCTTTGCATATTTCATTATATAAAGGTTATGGTAAATTTTTAAAGGTTATTATAAATTTCTAGAGTTGTGGTGTTTTTAACAGTTGTGGATTAGTAGGTCAAAGTCATGAAAATTGTAATTAGCATTTTAAAAGAATAGAAACACTAGAATGGTCTGCATGTAGAAAAAGCAAACTTAGGCAGTTATGTATGTACATGTATATGTGTGGACTAGTGCTGTAGGGTCAGCAATGGGTGTTGAGCTACAAGATCTGCAGTTCATACCCACCAGCTGCTCCTCAGAAACCTTACACAGTATCACTATGAGTCGGAACCAACTTGATGGCACTTAACAACAACAATATATATGTGTACTGGGTTATTATTAAAACATATGTTTACTGAGGAGTGTGCTCAAAAATGTTTGAAAAACACTACTGTAGAAAATAGGAAACTAGTCTTCCTTTGTTTTGTTTTGGTGGCTGAGGCCATGGATGTCCCTAGTGAATGCCATCTGGGAGAACTGGTTCCCAGGAGGTGGGAGTGACTGAATGGAGGGAGAGTGGGCACAGGGACGCACAAAGACCATCCTCCTCAGGACACACTCCCAGAGATGCTGGTCATTCTGCCCCTAACATCAATCAGTCCACATGTGGCTTGAGGAGCCAGTAGCCGCCCTCAGGGAGTGGATATTTTGATAACTGGTGGCAGGGCCATCCAGAAGGTGAGGCAGGGACAGGGCACTGTCATGGCAGTGAGGGTTAACACCTGTCCAGTGTTTTCACGTGTCTATCATTGGTCTCATTTGCTCCTCACAGTACTGATACTGTTATCCCCTCATAACATGTGAAAGGGGCCCTGGATACTGGTTTGCACTTGTGTGGCACTGTAGCATAAGCATTGGACTGCTAACCTCAAGGTCAATGGTTCAAATCCACTAGCTGTTCCTTGGAAATGCTATACAGGGTCACTTGGAGTCTTAACTGACTCTATGGCACTTCAGCAACAACAGTAACTAATGGACATGTTGGTGGTCTGAATCATTGCCATGGCACCATGGAAGAAAGACATGGCAATGTTCTTCTGTAAGATCGTTAAGAAATGCCAGAGTCAGTTAAGACTCATAGTGACCCTGCAGAGGGTTTCTGAGGAGTGGCTGGTGAGTGAACTTTGAACCTTGAGGTTCAAACCAATCTTGTGGGTCTAGTGCATTATCCTACAGCACCACACCAGGACTCCAATCGTATTCACTGTTGTTGTTAAGTGCCATCGAGTTGGTTCTGACTCATAGTGATCCTGTATAGGGTTTCCAAGGAGCGATTTGGTGGGTTTGAACCACTGACCTTGTGGTTCAAACCGACCTTGCTACCCTATGGAGAGCAGCTCTACTCTGAAACATGTGGGGTCACCAGGAGTCAGAGTCTCCTCAGTGGCAGTGGGTTCTGTTTTTAACGTTTTATAGTGAATTTGGTGAAAGTTTGCAGGGCAAATCAATTTCCTTTCTAACAGTTCATAAACATTGTGTTTCCCTGTGTTTTCCATTGCTGTTCCTCCTTTCTTACCCCTCCCTGCCTTCTGAACTTTATCCTTGGGTAAATGCTGCCCTTTTAATTTCAAATGAATGATTATTTTGAGGAGTTGTTATTGTTTTGGCTGAAACATGAGCCACAGGAGTGAGTTCATTTGCAGAGTCAAGGGTGACTTTAGGGCCATAGTCTTCAGGGTTTCCCTCAGTCTCTATCCGACCAGTAAGCTTGGTCTAGTTATGGTGTTGAGTTTTGTTCCCATTTTTCAGAGCAGTTAGCAGTAGTAGTGTGGCGCTATGGGCTAATGCGTCAGACTGCAAAGTTGTTGGAACTGCAAGGTTGGTGGTTCAAGCTCATTAGCTTCTCTTCAGAAACCCTATACAGGGTTGCTACGGGTGAGAACTGACTCGATGGCACCTAACAATAACAATCATAGCAGTAGTAGTGTGGCACTATGTTCTTAGTATGTGAGGAAACCAAGACTCAAGAGATGCAAAGAAACTTGCTCTAGCTCACACAGCTAGGAATTGGTGAAACTGGCTTTAGACCTGTGCTGTTAACTGACAGACTCTCCTGTGATTAGAGCGCTAGGCAGGATAATACTGTGAACTGGAAGAGGGATGCATGCAGGGTGGGCTTCCCAGAAGAGGCGTCCCACAAACTCTGCAGCTTATGGGTGGTTTAGCTCCTGACTCCACCACATCCTAGTTTTATAACCTTCTTCCCAACCTACTGTGAAATGCTAAGCTTCAAAGAAATAGCCCGTGCAAGGCACACTCAAGGTGCTTGATGCCCAGGAAGGCTCCCACAGAGATCACTCCTTTCTCCCCACCTCCAGGGAGAACGTATCTGCCTGATTCGCAAGGTCAATGAGAACTGGTATGAGGGACGCATCTCAGGCACCGGGCGCCAGGGTATCTTCCCTGCCAGCTATATCCATGTGTGCCGTGAGCCCCGGCTCCGGATCTGTGATGACAGCCCCCAGCTCCCTGGATCCCCCCACCCAACCACCACTGCTCATCTGGCCCGGAACCCCAGCTCCCCGTCGACCCCACGTAGAACAACCGACCCCACTGACTGGAGGGGACAGACGTCCCCCCGAAACACCGGCTTCTCTTTCCCTACCCAGGAACCAAGACTGCAGTCCCAGGTAAGGTGTCCTGCCTCTGTAGCTGACCCCTGTTCCAATGCCACATCCCCATTCCTGGGACTGGTCCACCAACCCCAGAGCCACCACAGTGGAGTGACTGGGGGAGGATCTTGCATTGCAGTCCCACCCTAACCTTGGTTCTGGCCCTTGACCTTCAGCCCAACCCATCCCTGTCCTCCCGACACCATTCTGTCCTGATGGAGCCACAGGTTTGCATTTCGCCTGCTGTGTGACCTTGGGCCACTAACTTTCCCTATTGGGTTTTGGGTTTCTTACCTGTAGAATGTTGCCCACCTGTAGAATGGGGGTAATGATTTCGAATGCAGAGGGTAGTTGGGTAGGTTTGACCTAAAAGTTCATAGTAGCTGATGGATAAATAAAGAGCATTATTCTTAGTGCAGAAGTAGTTCATATACAACATGTTTAAACACTCTGGGCACTCATTCAAGTTTTCATCCATTCGCTCAACAAACTTCCATCACACACTCCCTGGCCTTCAGGCTACAGTGACTTGGGGCTGCTGTGGGTCCTGAGAGCCAGGTACAACCAGTGCATGGGACTCCTCATAGTCCCAGCATTGTCCATGCTGGTTTTGGGAAATCTAGTCACTTCACTACCTGTGCCTCAACTTCCCAGAACCTGTGAAGTGAAGAAGTCAGCCGATCCCCCTGTGCCTTGTCGCTTTGTAAGGATAAGATGAGCTAGTTTGTCAGAATGCTTCCTGAGGTAAAGTGTGAGGCCCATGACGGTTCTCCTCCCTGCTGTTCCCCTCCTCGGACTCTCTTTTCCTGTGACCCGCCAGCGTCTCAACACTCCTGAGCCAGCTCTGTCCCATCCGCGAGGTACCAGCCATTCCCTGAACCTGGGGGTCTCCTCATCCAACACCACACAGATACACTGGACCCCGTGAGTACCACCATCTGAGGGTGCATGGTCAGGAGAGCACCTGGCAGACAGTGCCGAGCAGACTGGCTTCCACATTTCCCCTCTTTCCCCTGGGCTGGATTGGGTAAGCTCCCACTGGCCTTCCAGGGCTTACAGGGGACCTAGGGGCAGATGGGGGAGGTCTTGTCTGTGGTGTTCCTAGCCCACCTTGTCCTTGCCAGCAGTATGTTCTTATAGCAAACCTCCCTACTCCTCATCTCTCAGCTCAGCCTCCTCACAGGGTTCCCAGGCCTGAGGTCAATGCCTGTACAAACCAAGGCTGAGAACTGTTAGGACAGCCTTGAAGGCACTGGTAGCTCAGAGAACGTGAGATTTGGGTGGTTAGAGCGTAGATGGCAGTGAACAGGTCTGGAGAAGCCAGGCAGAGAGTAGTTATTCTAGGAGCTGGGCCCGGGCCAGGACATGGAGGGTTTTCTGGGAGTGCCAGTACTTGGGTTGAGAACCTGGGCTTGAACTGGGAGAGGTTGCCATGACAATGTGTCCTGTAGATACCAGGCGATGTACCACTACCGGCCCCAGAACGAGGATGAACTGGAGCTGTGGAAGGGGGACCGGGTGGACGTCATGCAGCAGTGTGATGATGGCTGGTTCGTGGGTATGTGGACCTGGGGGCGGCTGGGCAAGCAGGCTACAAGAAGTACCTCAAGGACCCAGGGGGGATTTGGTGGGCTGCTGCTGCTGCCCACCAGTGTGCTTCAGTAAAGAATCATGGTCTGACCATTCCTACCCAGCTTCTGGCCTGGCTGTAAGGCCTGACCCTGGAAGCTTCCCCCAAGCCAGCACATCTGGACCAGCGTTCCTCCATGTCCTGAAAGGGCTGAGGCCTGGGAGGGCAAGGGAATGAGGGAGAACTGTACACACACACACACACACCCCATCCCCACCCCTTGTCTCCAACCTCCAGCCCTCTCCTGTGCCTGCAGGCCACTGTATGTGAAAACTCAAGAGGGCCATGCCTTCCCACTGCTACTGACAGCCCACCTGCTTTTCTCTCTGGCTGCTTCTGTTGAGCTGCATTTCCAGTCAGCACTCAGTCCACCTCACTGGCCTCTCTTCTGAAGCTCAGGGTTCAGGACCACCATCTGTATCTGTTTCACTTGGTCTCCCATGTCTGTTACAGAGGGTCTGCTCAGTACACCTGCCTACTCCATCTTGCCTTGGAAATTCTTAAAAAGTTGTTTACATTTAAATGAATAAACATGAAGTAAAATTTAAAGTTCAGCTCCTCAGTCTTCCTAGCATATTTGAAGTGCTCAGTAGCCACGTGTGGCTAGTGGTGATCATTTTGAAAGTACAGGTTACATCAATGACAGTTGGTCATGGAAGACTCCCTGGGGGATCTGGGCTTTTAAGGGTCAAGGAAAGTTTAGAGAGGCTGCACATAAGAAGGGGGCACTCCAGGCAGGGCAACAGTATCAGCAAGGCCTGGGGCCAAAATGAGCGTGCCGTTTCACAGCAAAGTAAAGACAGCAGCTGTCTTACTTACATAGTGCAGCTGTAACAGAAACACCACAAGTGGGTGAATTTAATGAACATAAATTTGTTCTCTCAAAGTTTGTTGTTGTTGTTGTTAAGTGCTGTTGAATCAGTTCCAACTCAACAACCCTGTATAGGATTTCCAAGGAGTGGCTGGTGAGTTTGAACCATGGACCTTAGGATTCAAACTGACCTTGCAGTCCACAGCGTCACAGTCACTTTCAGGACACCAGCTCTAGGAAAGGCTTGCTTTCTCTGCTGGCTCTGAGGGAAGGTCACTGGCTCTTTTCAGCTTCTCTTCCTCTGTTCTTTGATCTTCATGTGGCTGTGACCTGTCTTCCCTCATCTGTGCATTCTTGCTTCTGTGCCTAAATTGCCCAATCATTGAAAAGTGATTTGCTGGAGACACCCTCTACATTGATATGGTCACATTAACATAACAAAGAAAACCCCATTCTCAAAAGAGGATTGTATCCACAGATGTTGTTAGGTGCCATCAAGTTGGTACCAACTCATAGTGACCTGACCCTATGCACAACAGAACGAAACACTGCCCAGTCCTGGGCCACCCTCACTGTCGTTACCATGCTTGAGCCCATTGATGCTGCCGCTTGGCCAGTCCATCTCGCTGGGGGTCTTCCTTTTTTCTCTGACCCTCCACCTTACCAAACATGATATCCTTCTCCAGTAACTGGTCCTTCCTGACAATATATCCGAAGTATGAGAGATGAAGTTTGGCCATCCTGGCCTCCAAGGAGCACTCTGGCTACACTTTTTCCAACACAGATCTGTTGGTTCTTTTGGCAGCCCATGGTACTTTCAATATTCTACTCCAGCATCATAACTCAATTGTATCAATTCTTCTACGGTCTTCCTTATTCACTATCCAGCTTTTGCATGCACATGAGGTTATTGAAAATACCATGGCTTGGGTCAGGCGCACCTTAGTCCTCAAGCTGACATCTTTGCTTTTCAACACTTTAAAGAGATCTTGTGCAGCAGATTTACCTAATGCCAATACATCGTTTTATTTCTTGACTGCTGCTTCCTTGAGTGTTGATAGTTGATCCAAAAAGAATGAAGTCCTTGACAACTTCAATCTTTTCTCCATTGATAAGAATGTTGTTTATTGGTCCAGTGGTGAGGATTTTTGTTTTCTTTACATTGAGATGCAATCCATACCAAAGGCTGTGGTCTTTGATCTTCATCAATAAATATTTTAAGTCCTCTTCACTTTCAGCAAGTAAAGTTGTATCATCTGCATATTGCAGGTAGATAATGAGTCTTCCTCCAATCCTGATGCCACATTTTTCTTCATATAACCAATTCAGCTTCTTGGATTATTTGCTCAGCGTACAGGTTGAATAAGTATGATGAAAGAATACAACCGTGTCGCACACCTTAGGATTTACAGCAAATTTGGGGTAGGCAAGGGATGAAGGTAGCGCACAATTCAATCCAAAACACCAGTCTGGACTTTCATGTTCTATTCCCTATATCTTTTAGCATTCCCCCTTTTCACTCCATGCCTTAGGTATTTTGGATGTTGTAAGGGTGTGTGTGTGTGTGTGTGTGTTTTGTTTTGATTCTAGTTCTAAACAAGCTTTTGGACAGTTCACTGAAACTTCTCTTGGGAAGTTAACTTCCCCATCTGTAAAACAAGGATGTCATACTAGAGAGTGAGGTTCCTTTTGATTTAAAGTCTGTGACTTGTCCCCACTTACTTCGCCTTTCCCAAGGTGGATGGAGTCCTTGAGAGCTGTATGCAAAGTTGTGCTCATTTGTTGACTGCTGGGAATTTTTTTTTTTTTTTAATTCAAAGCAATATTGAATTTACGACGTATTGCTTTGGTAGCATAGTGGTTACGAATTGGGCTGCTAACCTCAAGGTTGGTGGTTCGAGACTACCAGCTATTCCATGGGAGAAAGAGGAGGCTTTCTGCCACCTAAAGATTTACAGCCACGGAAACCCTGTGCAGGGTCACTATGAGTTGAAACTGACTCCACGGTACTTAACAACAACAAGCTTTACCTGTGTAAGTTTCTGCCACTTTTGTTGTTAAGTGCCATCGAGTTGATCCAGACCCATAGCGACCCTGTATAGGGTTTCCAAAGAGCGGCTGGTGAGCTTGAACCTCCGACCTTGCAGTTCAAACGACTTTGCAGTCTGGCGCATTAACCCACAGCACCATACCAGGACTCCTTCTGCCACTAGGGGGCAGGGATGAGGAAAGCAAACCCTCTTCCTCCGGAAAGAAATTCTACCTGCAGTTCTGGACCCTGTCAGCAGGGGGCAGGGCCCTTATTCCTTCATTCTTGTGGAAAAACAGTATAAAGAGGAGGGATGCTCTTTCTGACTTTCCCCTTACAGGTGTCTCCCGGAGGACCCAGAAATTTGGGACATTCCCTGGAAATTATGTAGCTCCGGTGTGATTGGTCTCCGTGGCAACTCAGTCCAGCCTTATGGGTCAGAGCAGTAGCTCTTGGGGAGAGAGAGAGGACCTCCCCCACATCCTCCCTGCCCTGGGCCAGAGCTCCAGGCATCTGCAGACAACCCCAGAAGCCCTTCCCGTGGAGCCCCCTTGGAGCCCCCTGGACTGATCCCCACCCACAACTCACAGGCATTCCTCTGACGTCCCTTTCATCTCTTCCCCCACCCCACTTTCCAAATACAGAGGTCTGCTTTGAAGTGGAGACTGTTTCCCGGCCTTATTGAGAACAGACCCCCCCAAAAAACCCCTGCTCCCACCCTCCATGGCATTTTCTCTAATAGGGACCGGCTCCCAGCTTCACCCCCATGGGGTTCCTCTAACCAGAACCAGCTTCCTAACCTAATAGAGATCAAACTGCCTCCGCCCCCAGAGGGGATTCTTCCCTTTTCACTCCAGCTTGCCTGCTGCCCCTTTGCCTTCCTGCTTCCAGCTGGGTTTGGGAGAGAGGTGGGGGTGGATGCAGCCACCTTCTTAGCCTTGGAGGCCTGGTAGGTCCTGCCTGAAAGCCCCTTTTTCCAACAGCTGCCAAAGAGCTCTGCACATCGCCAAAGAGCTCTGCGGTGCTGCCCAGGCTGCTGGCCTTGAAGGCCTGTCCTGTCCCAAATGTCTTCCAAGGGAGACTAATGTTTGCTGCGCTCCTGCCTCCCCAGCGCCCCCTCCCCATCTTCCAAGTTCCTGCTTGAAGAGAATGTAAAATAAATCTGGAGACCAGGGACTTTGCCTGAGTCCTTTTTCTTTGGGATGGGAAAGACCTCCTATGGATTCTGGTAATTCTTCAGGGGACTGTACTGGAAATCAAGGAACAGGTGTGTGTGGGAAGGAAGGGGGAGAGTGGAAACAACAGCTTATTATCTAAAGATCTCAGCTCAGGCCTCTAGCAGAATCAGGCAGCCCCAAGGACCAGCAGCTGCCTGACATGCAGCACTGAGCTGAAAGCATCACAGACTTAGGGCAAGGCCTGATTGGGGGGTGGAGTGGCGGGGGAGAGAGGAAACCAGAGCTGGGGAGCTGAATGTGGCGTTGTTTGCAGGCTGTTTTGATTCTGGAGCAGTCGCGGGGTGGCTGGACTAGATGACATTTCTAATTATTCTGCTAATGTTTTCCTTCTGTGTGCTTTATTTCCATACTGACGCTCTTGTGTGTTTATTGTTTGGGATTTTTCTTTTCTTTTTTTCCTGCTTTGGGCTTCAGCTTTTGAGCAATACATTGCAGGAAGCTGGGAGTGGTAGGTCATAGCTAGCCAAAGCAACTCTTCTTGCCCAAGGTTTTCAATTTCTCTGGACTTGGTGGTTCCTGTGAGGAACTGGGGTAGGGGTTGGTCACAGTCTGGGCTTGGCTGCACTACCAAGAAAGGAAACTTCCATTATTCTGCTGTGACTGTGAGTTGAGTATGTGCTATCTAATGCAAGCATCACAGTAGACGGTCTTTCTGATTCCATTTTACAGGGGAGACTCGGGCTCTGAGAAATTAAGCTATTGGTATAAGCACTGAACCGCAAGATAGGATTGAACTGTAAGGTCAGTTTAAATCCACCAGCCACTCCTCAAAAACCCCATACAGGGTCACTATGAGTCGGAACCCACTCAACGGCACTAAACAACAACAAAAGGAGCCCCGGAAGCATAGTGGGCTATGTGTTGGGCTGCTAACTGCAAGGTCAACAGTTTGGGTCCCCCAAGCATTCTGCAGGAAAGATCATTTTTTTTCTGCTCCCAGAAAGACTTAATGCCTTGGGAACTCACTGGTCACTACAAATTGGACTCGACACTACCACCTCCACCACCAGGTCTCAATGTTAGAGGAGTCATGGTAGCACAGCAAGTTAAGCACTGTGCTGCTAACCGTCAACAGTTTAAATATACCAGTCACTCTTCAGAAGGAAGATGAGGCTATCTGCTCCCATAAAGATTTGCAGTCTTAAGAAAAATAAAAAAAAGTCTAGGGAATCCTATGGAACAGTCTACTTTGTCCTCCAGGGTTGCTATGAGTTGGAATTGAAAGTAGTGGGTGGGTGGTCTAGGCATTGTACTTATTAAATGGTGAAGTCAGAATCTAAACTCAGGTCTAATGACTTTCTGCATGTAACCTACTAAGTGCCCCTGCAGTCCTTGTCCAGCAGCTCCTGGAGGAGGAAGGTCATGAATTTTGCTGGGGAGGTCCAGGCAGGTGGGGCTCTTTGTCATGACTACTTACATTCTTCCTGGAAATCCTGTCTACTAGGCCTGCCATTCATTGAAGGTGCCTGCACCCCAGGTGGGTGGGACAAGGTGATGGCTAATGTTGAAGGGTAGAGATACCTGGTTCTGGTCAGATGGGGGAGGCCTCTGAAGACAGCACAATGGCCTGGCCCTGGCAGGTTCTCTGAGCCTGGGTGTGGCCAGGGGCCCTGGCTAGTGGTTAAACAAGACCTGTGCACACTCCATGTCTACATCCAGAACATTCATGCCAGTCCTCAGCACAGGCTGGTTCTAAGGGTTCTGCAAAGGACCCTTCCTCAGAAGTTCAATGACCTAAGATCCACTATTTCACATTCTCTGATGCCTTCATAGAAGATATGAGGGTTGAGAGACTTCCTTTCCTTGGGGCAGAAACCAAATCCGCACTCTCTCTTTGATGGGACCCTGAAACCTTCACAGTAAACAAACCCTACACCCTGGGTTGCCTGCCATGACAACCCTGTTTGTTAGATGACCATGTCTATGACTACCTAGCAAGAGGGCATGGGGAGGGATGGTCAGAGGCCTGAAGAGTGAGGGGAACCATGGGCACCTGGTTCCCTGACTTTCTTTGCCCAATGAATCAAAGAAAGAAGTAGAAAAGTCCTTAGGCCTCTGGGAATTGCTCACCTATTTTACCAATGAGCTGAGAGACATCACAAAGAACAGGATTGCTCTTTGGTGTTCCACGGGACCATGCTCTTCGTTGTGAGTTTTGTGAGTGCACAATCCACCCAGCAGCAACCTTTGTGGTTTGAGACATAGATGTTTCTTCAGATTACCCAAGGCAAAGTCAGGAGTACAACAAGGTATTCACAGTCCCTGCAACAAATGGGGGCTGGGAGAGGAATCCATCCATTCCATCATTCAAACATTCATTCAACAAATATTTATTGCATGTCTACTATGTAGCTGACAATGTACTAAGCTTGGAGGATGAAGTGGTGACCCAAACAAAAACCCTAGCCTCAGAGGAAACTCTTTGTGTACCAGCAGCTTTATATAGGATGGTAAGCTATGTATTATTCCCATTTTACACATAGAGAAACTGAGGTCCAGAAGAGTTAAGGAACTTAACCAAGATTGCACAGTGAGGAAAAGTCAGATCCAACATTTAAAGCTAAGTCTGTATGACCTTGAAACTATGCTTGTCCTACCTGCAGTGTCCTGCTGCCTCAAGGGGCTTTCTGGTCTAGTTGGGGAGGTAGAACAAGTACATCAGGTAAAGTGGCCAAAGCAGGAGGCTTGGGATTAGTTATTGCGTGAAGGCATGGTTTACTCACACCAGGGGCAGAGGCTGTGGGAGGTAGACAGGTTGGAGGTGACTGGTTGAGTCCAAGGAGGAGCAGACACAGGGCCAGGCATGGGGAGGCGGAGCAGAGTGGTGAGGGCCATGCCCTCAGAGGGAGTGACTCACAGCTGAGTAAGTTACAGTTGTGTCCATGGGTGTGCTCCCCTGACAGAGAAAGTGTGAACTACAGACGACGGGGAGATGCAGGGATTGGCTTTGGTAGATCCAGAGTTCTCAGCATGAGGACTACCCCTTCTTGAACTGGCACCTGGGACCACCTCCATGGCTGTGCTCTCCTGATCCCTAGAGTCTGGGTTCCAGGTGGTGGGCAGAGGACGTGTGAGGGGGCATGGCCGGAGTGATTGTTGGGTTGACCCACCCAGAAAGGATCTGGTAAGAGGAGCCAGCAATGGGAAAGGTAGACATTAGCCCAGAATACTGGGTAACACAGGAGGATGCGGTAACTCCAACTAGCAGTCTCATCTCATCTCCTCCAGGGCCCACAGGGGTCGCTCATCGGCGTGGGCGTCTGGGCATCTCAAACTGGGGCGGCTCAGGGAAGCTCGGTGCTGCCAGAGCACCCGAGCGCCGGAGCGGTCTGCAGCCACCGCCAAGCGAGGGCGCAGGGAGTTCAGGAACGGAATTGGGAAGGGCGGAGGGAGGCCCCTGGTCTGGAACTTTTGAGTGTGAAGGCTGCATCTGCGCTAGCATCTGAGCTTGGAGTGGGCGGAGGATCCCGGCGGACCTCAGACTGACCCAGCCAGCTCTCCCCTAACTCGGACCATGGTGGGGCTGCTCCAGGGACCTTTTGGAAGCGTTGTGGACCTTTGCTGGCCCGGGAAAGCTGTAGGGAATAGCAGCCTCCGCTATCTGCACGTTGGGACATGGGTCTGTCATTAGACTGCTTCCCCTGCACTCAGGGAGGATAGTGGGGAGAATGGGACACCTCCGGGAGGACTATCGCAGCCTACAGGGGGCTCCAGAGAGCACCCCCTCACGGCCCGGCGCAGGCCAGGTGGCAGCGCTCGGCTGGGCTGCGCGGAGGAGGCGGCTTCCCGGGCCAGGGGCGGCGGCAGGGGCGGCCCTGGGATCACATGGGCGGAGGCAGGTCCTCGAGCCCCGGGCGGGCTCTCCCCAGAGTCAGGCAGACGGCGCGGCGGCGGTGGCGGCGGCGAGACCTGCCGCATCTCCTCGCCCTCTTTCCTTCCCTTCCCTCCCCGGCCTGGCCGCCCAGCCCCACAGGTGAGCGGGAGCCAGGTGAGCGCGCCCACCTGCGCACCCTCCGCCCAGTCGGAGACCTCCCGGAACAGCTTCGGGCCGCTGAGCTTCCCTCCGCCCCCAGCTCCCCCTCGGAGCTTGGCGCCCGCGTCTCTCTCTGAGCTCCATCCCCAATTCTCAGTCCACAGCCCTTCTTCCCGCAGCCTTGCCTCAGGGTTGGCTACCTGACCCTGGGACTACCCCTCCGGCCCCTGTCCCGTGGGTATTTTGGCCTCGGAGCGTCCACAACTCTAGAACTGGGAGAGCCGGGCTGACGGGCTCGGCACCTCCCCGGGGCGCCCGCAGCACCGAGTCTACTGGAGGGCTCAAAGGTCTCGGAGTCTCAGAGCGTCTGCGAGCCGAGCCGCCAGCACTAACCTGAGGGTGTGGGGAGGGCCTGCAGTTGGCCAGGCATAGGACAGACTGTTGTGTGTACCCCCTCTCCAGGACCCTAAACGCAGTAAGTGGCCCTGTAGTCTTGGATAGATCCAGGTAGAACTTGCAATCTCTGGTTCTCCCTAGGGGCAGCTCCAGTGAGGGTGCTGGGTAGGGTGGTGGCCCAGCCTGGCACTACAGCTTCCTGCCTGGTTTGGCTCCTGGCTCCAGATCTTAAGGCTCAGGAAATCCTACCAGGGCCTGGTTTGCAAGGACACTCCCTAGTCCAGTGGATGGGAGGCCTATGACCCCTTTTGGCAGGCAGCATCAGAGGGCTCCCAGGCTAGGGTGAAGTTGGGAAGTCAGTCAGCTTGCCCCGGCTTGGCTGGCCAGCACCAGGGGTGGGTGTGCCCAGCTTGGCAGATGATCCCTGTCCTCTTGCCGGGACTGTTCCCAGGGTAGCTGGTCACTGGTAAGGCCTTGCCTACCTGATCCTCATTGCCAGGGACTCTCAGGCAGCCAGGTAGCCTGAAGAAGACCCTATCTATACTCAGCCCCTGCAAATCCAGCACGTAAGAGTCTGTGATGGTACCACCCTTTCCTTGCTGTCACTCTGGGGTTCCCAGAGCCCTGCACTCCCCCCCACCCCCCAGCCTGCCTTCTGCCCTCCCTCAGAGCACAGAGGAAGTACCTTGTGCAGTCGGGACAGGAAGCAAACACAAGTGGGACTTAACAGTCCTGATGGTGGAGGAGGGGAAGAGGGAGGAAGTGTGACACCTACAACCACTTACCAGCCCCCACCCAACCATCTCTAGCAAGCCCCCATTTGGCACCTTTGACAGCCCATCTCCTGGGAGCCACTCTGCTGAAGACCAGTGGAAGAGGAGACTAATACTCATGGCTTCCCAGGGTTGGGGGAAGTGAAACTAGGGGGATGAGGGAGGGATTTAGTTACTTCCGCTACTTACCCCACCCACCCCCAGGCAGCTCTGGGGACCTGTCATCCCCTTTTTCTCCCATTGCGGCTCTCCTGTCCCTCTTCCAGCCCCGTTTCTTAGGGTGGGGCAGTCTCCACTTCTTGGTCCTCTCTTCCTCAGGTATGGCGTTAACAGTGGATGTGGTGGGGCCAGCGCCCTGGGGCTTCCGCATTACCGGAGGCAGGGATTTCCACACACCCATCAGGGTGACCAAGGTAAGGGCTAGTTCTAGGAGGCAAGGAAATTATTTCAAAAGTTAGGGTCTATCCTGTTCATTCTAGTCCTCACTGATATTTGTCTGTTTGTTCTGGAGCCTGGAACCTGCTTCTGGGAGTGCTATTGGGGAGGGGATGGAGGACGTGTCAGGCCCTGTTGCCATGGGGACATGATGGCCACTTTAGGAACAGGCTTCAAGTATGTAGGACCTGATCTTTTTTCCTGGGTCACTTATAACACCTGCTGGCAGCCATTTTGGGTGGTTACTAAAACAAGGGCCCTGAATTCTTAGCAGTTTCCTCTTGACCCAAGACTGGGCCCTGCCTGGGAAGTGTTCACAGGGAGGGCCTGGCATGCAGGCAGCCACCTGCAAGGTGTGATCTGCACGGGCAGGGTTCTCTAGCCAAAGTATTTTCAATCACAGTTCCTGAAATTCTGCCATTACACATTCTTGGGGAGGCCCCCCATTAGAATGGCAGTGCTCCAGGGATGGGGTGAGGCTGCCACTTCAGTTTTCAGAGGGGATTGGCTGAAAGCAAGGCCTGGAGTGGCAGTTGTGAGACATAGGACGACTGGGACAGGGACAGGGAAATCCAAGGAGGAGGCTGGTCGGCCTAGTTCAAACAAGCCTCTGTGTTTCTTGGGCAGAAGAGAGGGAAATCCCCTCTCCTCCATCACTCACCCCACCCCAGGGTTTGAGCGTGGGTACCACAGTCTCACCAGCTCTTCATCCCTTAAAGGTGACTGAACGGGGCAAGGCTGAAGCTGCTGACCTCCGACCTGGCGATATTATCGTGGCCATTAATGGGGAGAGTGCGGAGGGCATGCTTCACACTGAGGCCCAGAGCAAGATCCGCCAGAGCCCCTCGCCCCTGCGACTGCAACTGGACCGGTAGGCCCCCCACCTTCCGCTGAGCCTCTTTCTTCTCCGCCAGCTCATTGCCCATTCACTGCCCACAGCCTAGAAAGCAGCTCCAAACAACCTTTCCTGAGTCCTTTCTGCACATCTGCAAGAAGGTCCTGGGCTCCGGGTCTTGTAGCAGGGGAGAGAGACATACGGTGGGCTGAGGGTGTCCCTGTGCCCAGTAGGGTGAAGGTGGGTGCCAGGCTGGGCTTGCAGCCACTGACAGGGCAGGGCGAGTTGGCACCAGCTACCTGGAAGCCCAAGTTTGACTGGTTCCCAAGAGTGTGAAGGGTACAGGGCAGGGGCATCAAGTGGGTTGAAGAGGGGAAACTTTTGGGTCAGGTGTGCCCTAGGCTAAGTCTCTAGGATCCCTGCCTTCCAGAAGGGATGACCTCTGTTTAGATCCCAGGTAGGCATCAGAAATTCTCAGGGTGTCATTTCCTCTCTTCTTTCCATCGCTGCTCTGGGCACTGCTGGTGAACACAGATTCCTGGGCTTGTGGGGTTTTGAGCCTGGAGGCAAGAGTTATGGGGTGGGGAGTGCGTGGGGGAGAGAACAGGTGGCTCCCTGGGGTGGGGCATCCCAGCCAGTCAGAAGTCAGGAATGCATTCCCCCAGCCAGGAGAGTCCTCTGGGCGGGCCTTGAACCTGAGTCAGATGCGTCTTGCCTCTCTGCCCCCACCCTCAGCCCCCAATCCGCCACCACCAGGTTCTCTGCAGCTCCGTCTCCATGTCTTCTCCTTGCCCACTGCCTTGGTCATGCTGCAGGAACTGGTGTTGAGGTCGCTGTGGCAGCCCTGGCCCCTTTAGTGACTCCTTCATGCTCCTTTGGTCCACCAGTGTTTGCAGGGGTGGGCTCCAGAGGAGGAGGGTGGAAAGTACCTCATGGCATCTGGGAATGGGACCAAAATCTACAGTCTCCAGTGGGGGAGGGACAGGAACTGCTGACACCAACCTTCCCCCCTCAGGCACCTCTCAGAGGGATCTGGGGGTCCTCAAATACCCCCTGCCTCCAGCAATACACCTGGCCAGTCAAGGCTCCGTAGCTCTTCTTTCTCCTGCTGATATTTCCCTCCTGGTGCCTAGCAAATAGTTCAGGCCTTCAGAAGCCCTGTGGACTGGAGTCAGAGCCAGCGATCCCCTCAGACTGATCCTATAGCCCTCCCTAGGGAGGCTGAGGCTCCTGATGATGAGTCTCTACAAATGTCCAGACCCCCAGGAACGGTGTGGTGGTGGGACTTGGCAGGCTCCCTCCTCACCCTCTGCCAGCCTCTGGCCCTCTGATGACTTCTTGCTCATGGCTCCAGTCTGGCTCAGCTGGGAAGGGCTTCAGAAGGGGGTCCCTGGGGAGCTGAAGGCGGCTACTTCTGTCCCTCTGGCCTGTGACTTGGGGGAGGAGGTGAAGAACTGGGTCTGCCTGTGACCTGAGCACTCTGGACTTGGTCTTTCATCTGCTTGCTTTGGCTCAAAGTGGGACAGGTTCCACCCTTGGTTTTGTGGCAGAAACAGTGAGTGACTCTCTCTAAAGCACTCTAGCCATGAGTGGCAGAGCTGGTGGGAAACAAGCCTCTGGTAGGGGGAGAGTGGGCAACTGACTCACCACTGACTAGCTTTAGGACTTTGAGCAACTCCCTCTTCCTCTTTATTCCTCAGTTTCTCTATGGGTAAAATACAAGGGGTTGGATGAAATCGACAGTCTCCCCACCAATTATCTACAACCTGCTGTTTCTTGTTGTTAAGTGCTGTCAAGTCCATTCCAGCTCTTAACCCTACTAACCAGTGACAAAGTCTGACTGAAATGGGAAGGGGAAAAACTGGGGGTGGGGGTGTGGATAACAGAAGGTGGATAACGTAAGGAGTTTTACTAAATGACTTTGTCTGAACTTAACGTCTTTCCTACTTTCTTACTTCCTGATGCTTAACCTGTCCTTTCTTTTAATAGTGATAGTTGAATTTGGCAAAATGTCCAATGTGGACATTTTACTGGTCTTGAGGTCCCAGTCTGGGGACACTGTGTCCATGAACTTTGCAGCTTCTGTCAGCTTAGCAGGACACTCCTCCCTTGGTTACTTCCTCAGGTCCCAGGCTGTCTCTCCCAGGCAGAGCAATGGGGAAAGCTCCTTGGAACTGCTGGCCACTCGCTTCCAGGTAAGCCTAGTCTTGTCTTGGCCAGCCTGGAATCTAGGGCTCTGAAATGAGAGGGCAGGGCCCATTTACAGAAGTGCTGCTGTCCAGCCCTTCTGACCCCTCTCTCCACAGGGCTCTGTGAGAACTGATAGTCAGTCCTCCCTGCGCTCCTCCCGTTCCAGCCCGGCCTCCCTGGGTTCCAGGCCTGGCAGCCCCTTCTCCACTCTGCCCTCCGCTAGCTCATATACCCCTGCAGGAGAGGCAGTGGTCAACCGTAGGTGAGTGCAGGGGGTGGGCACTTACCCACTTAGGCCTCTCCAAGTCTAAGTAGCTATGTTAAGGGGACCCCCTGAGGGCATCCTCTTCTTCCCTGGGACAGGTTGGGTGGGAGCTCTGGCCCACAGGCTGTCCATCTTTCTCATTTCAGTTTCCAGAGCCTGGCATGCTCCCCAGGACTCTCTGCAGACCGCTTGTCCTATGGGGTCCACCCTGGAAGCCGACAGGTAAGCAGACTCCAGGAAAGGAGAGTGTCAGAGAAACTAAGTACCTCCCATTCCCAGCTGGTAGTGCTCCAGGGACAACAGGCAGGTGGTTGGTCCCACCTGGGTCCATGGAGAGCCAGTGTCTCCATCTCCTAGCGACAGGAGTCTCCTGAGCCAGGGAGACCATTGCTTTTGGTGGTGGGCATGCCCTTCCAGTCTCAGGTGGCCTCCCCCCCACTGTGCTCCCCTGCTGCTTCCTCCCTCCCCCTTTCTGTTGGCTTCTTCCCTTCTCAGTGTGTTTCTCTTGGGCTGAGACTGACATAGTTCTGCTGCTGTTGTTGGGATGATTCCCTTTTGGCTCTGGCTGCATCTCTTGAACACATTCCTCCCAGTTCCAAACCCCATGCCCGCACCCATCTTCCAACATCCCACCTCCCTGCTTCCTCCTTCTTACTCAGTCCCAGAACCACCAGCAAGGGGCTGCCTCAAGTGGCATTTTGCCTATTCTGTCTGCTGCCCTCTCCGCTTCTCCTCTGGAAACCCCCAGGTCCCACTGCCCCACTCATTAGTGACTGCCTAACCCCCATTGGAGGTATTTCTTCTTGTCAAGATCAGGGATGAGGGGTGAGAGAGTGAGGTAGCCAGCAGTGCTGGGCCACAGCTGCTGGGGGCAGAAGGGGTGTTCAGCCATCCATCTGGGTGAAGAGGACAAGGCCCAGCTGCTGGAATGCTACCTCAGGGTTGACTCTGCATTCCAGAGAGACTTTGGGTGGGGGTGGGGGATGCTGGAAACTGGGGACCCTACAGAAGAAACAGGGTTCTCTGAGGGCTGCAGAGTCACGGCTCCATGGTAGCCTACAGTGTGCCCACATCATTGGTCTGCCCACCTGGTTGGTGCTGTGGTGCCCAGAGACATTTTATATAAGATCCTGCTCTCTAAAGAACTTAAAAACATAGTTATGGAGATAAGACAGGCATGCAAAACAGTTTTGGAACAGCTAAGCACTCAACAGTGTGGTCTTAATTATAAAAGAGAGAGGCGTTCTGGGAGGGGAGACATGAATGTGGTCTGGGGTGGCCTGGAAAAGCTGTGTGGGGAAATTTGCTGGACATTGAGATAGGACAGGGTAAGATTTAGATCAGAGAATGATGAAAGTGGGATGGACATTCTAGGAGATGGAGACACAGTGGTAGATGCAAGACCTGCAATGTTTGGGTGCTGGGGTGGGTTGTGAGAGAGATTCTCAAAAGACCTTTGCCCGAAACCAGCAGGACTGACAGAGAAGATGTTGTCCATCTTGGTCTCCTTCAGTCAAGCTCCTGGGACAGAGACTCTTTGGGACTACATGCTCAAGGGAATGCCTTCCTGGGTCCTTTCCTTGTGATGCCCCCCAAGACCAGTAAGGGGGAGATGCAGCATGGTGTGACAAAGTGGTTCTCAGATCAGCAGCAGCATCTGGAAACTTGTTAGGCATGTAAAATCTCAGGCCTCTGCATAGCCCCATGGAACCGGAAACTCTGGGGCTGGGAGTCGGCAATCAGTTGTAGCCAGCCATCCTGATAAAGCTGATGCACGCTAAGGTTTGAGAACCTCCACTGTAGTGTGAGGGCTGGGTGTTGGCCAGACCTGGGTCATGTCTACCTGTATCAGTATGAATGAGCCATTTTTCTCCTCTGGGCCTTCAGAGTTGCTCTAAGTTCCCTTTCTTGACCCTGAGAACCTTGATTATTTCCTCACTCCTTCAACAAATGTTTAGTGAGCATCTGTTTGTGCTAGGCAGGCTTGTAGGATTTGGAGATACTTGTGTGGAAAAAAGGCACATTGCTTGCTGACCCTCTGAGTTTACATTCTGGCCTACAGATGGTGCTGTGGTCAAGTGGTCATGGGGTCACAGGTCCTAGAGCCCCTCTTAAGACTCACTGTGCACTTCAGCATCTTAAAAGCTTAAGAAGTCCCTTGAGAAAGAAACCTACTTGATTCAGTCAATTTCTCAAACTTGTTTGACCACAGAACTTCTGAAGTTCCACCCCCACTACTTGCTTATTAACATACAGAGGGACTTGTGTTTCCCAGAATACTGTTCAAGAGATGTTGACTACATTTTTGAAGGGCAGGTGAAGAGGGAGCAGCAATTCTGGATTTAGAGATGAACACTCCCTTTTGTGAAAGAGGGTGTCTGCTGGCTGGAAGGGCAAGGGAGGGAGGAAAAAGTGGAAGCCTCACCATGCCAGGCAGGTGGGCTCCTTCCTTCTCCAGCAGGGCATGGTGGTTTTGGAGACAGTGAGGTAGGGGTACATGTAAGGATGGACTGTGAGCTGGAGGAGACAGAGGTGATAGTAGATGAAGTGAAACCCCACTTTTGCGGTGGCCATGGCCTTCCTGAGGCATCTGGGCTGGCTGAAGCTGTGGGAGGCCCAAGGCGCAGGGCAACCCAGCCCATGTGGTACCTTTCTGGGAATTAGAACCTGCCCTTGCTGGAAGGTATACTCCTTGGTTAGGAGATGCAGACTTTTTTTAAAGCACTCTTTCTCTAAAGCTTTGACTCCAAGGTAGAGAGGTTCTTAGCCCCTTCACTTTCCCCTTTATGTTTCTATTTCCTCACCGCAAAAGGGTCAGCTTATTTCCTCTCTGTTCTGTTAGATTGGAGCCAGGTCCTAGTGTACAGCATCTTTGAAAAAATATGATGTAGCATAAAAAAAAAAAAAGACACATGGACTTGGCTTATTGAATGGAGCTTTTCAACAAGTGAGAAAGGGCACATGCTGACCTGCCTGAGACACAGTGAGATGTGACATAATTCTTGAGTGTGTGCTGTGCTTCCTAAGGAAAGGATCTCAGATCTCACAGTCTTGTCAGTTGACAACACAGCCCCAGCCTGGCATCCAGGAGGCGGAGCTTGGAGTCCTAGCCCAGCCTCCATCTCTCCTCTGGTCCTCAGTCTCCTTACCTTACCATTTTTTATCACAGAATTCCAAGCACAAAGGCATGTAAACTGCTAGAAGAAAAGTTGGCAGGGTGAGAGTCTAGGCCTATTTTCTCAAGATTCTTTTAATTTTCCTCTTTTGGCTGAAGAATCATGCAATTTTTTTCATTCTACCCCATAATTCATGCATGACTTTGTATTTTAAAATAATGGTTAAAATTACTAGGCATTGAGGGAACTTGGCTTCCCAAGCAATTGTGCCCTTAAGCCTGCATGGCTGGCTTTTCTTGCCTTTGCACACAGTTCCCCCTATAATTGATAACTACCGTTTATGTGAAATGTGAGTTGCCATTCATGTATCAACGTTGATACATGATTAACTAAAAGTCCATAGTCTGTTTTAGGACTCACTCATTGGGTTGTAAAGTTTCTGTGGATTTTGACCAGTGCATGATGTCATGCAGTTACCATTACAGAAGCATTCAGAATAGTTCACTATCCTTAAGTTGTCCACCTATTCATCCCTCCCCTCAAGTCCCTGGCAACTACCGATGTTTTTTACAGTCTCTATATTTTATTTGGTAAAGTAGAGGGTGAGTCAACAAGAGGAAGACCATCAACAAGATGGATTGGTAGTGGCTCAGCATGGTCCTCTCATATAACCCCAGTTTTGAGGAGGGTGCAGGACCCGACAGTGTTTCATTCTGTGTGGATAGGGTTACTATGAGTCGGAACTGACTCAATGGCCCCTAACAACACTAACCTAATTTTGTGAAGGCAGAGAGCAAATGTAACAGCTCAGATGGACAGGGCATACTTAAGGAGGTGGCACTGTGGCACAGGGTGTGGTCCTTAAGATGGGCTTGGCTCCCCACAGCTCTGTGGACAAGACCAGACCTCCCAGGGCAGCCAGATGAGGCTGCTCAGCTCACGTTCAGGCTATCTTAGGTGAGAGTTCAGTTTGTATAGAGACAAGGCCTCTGCCCAGCCCCAGCTCTGACTCCAGGAGGGAATGGGAGTGGTCTTAGCCCCTTCACTTCACCCTTTATGTTTCCTCACTGCAAAAGGGTCAGTGTATTTCCTCTCTGCTTGTTATGTACGGTGCCAGTGTACAGCATCTTTGAAAAAATATAGTGTAGCATTAAAAAAAACAAACAAAGTGGCTATCTAATAGGGGTCTAGGCCTTTGTTTTGGAAGTGTTTCTCAGTGGACTTGAACCTCCTAACTTACAGTTAGTGGCTAAATGTATTAACCATTTGCAACACCCAATGACTCTATGTGAAGTGCTGTCAAGTTGGTTCCGACACATAGTGACCCTGTATAGGGTTTCTGAGGAGCACCTGGTGAGCTTGAACTACCGACCTTGCAGTTCAAACAGCTCTGCAGTCTGGCGCATTAACCCACAGCACCACACCAGTGACTCTATAACATAACATAAATCCTTATCCCTTCACCTGGCACCCTTCATTCTGCCCCTTTCTCAGTCCCTCCACAGAACCACACACCACCATGGTTTAGACAAGCCTCTGGTGCCAAACAGTCTTTGGTGATCTGACTGGAGGCAGGTTCAGGACCATGGTCACTCTTAGGGACCTGCTGGTCAGCAAGAGTCTGGAGCCCTCTGGTGTTAAACCCGGGGAACTGCTGGGTTTGGCAGCACAGATGGCTCTCTTGGCCAAAGGCTCCAGCCACTGACTCCTCCCCTGGATGTTTCTCCTCCTGACAGGCTGGCCTCAGCCATGCGGGCGATTCGCCTGTGCTGGTGCTGCCACATCATTCTCCCGGCTTCCGGTCCTCCAGCCCCAGACTCAGGTACCAGCAGGTCTTGGAGTGGGTCTCAGAGGGCCTGGGAGGGGCAGAAGGGACACTGGTTTCTTAGGGTGGGATGGAGGCCCCATACTTCTAAACTCCAGAATCTTTTCTTTCTGGGCTTACCCGTCTTGTCCTTCCCTGCTAGTCCTAACATCCAGGGAATGGGATCCTCATTCCCAGCTGCGTCCCATCCCCACGGTGTAGAATCAGAAGGGGGAAGCCACCTTCTGGAAGAGGACTCCGAAGTCTTCAAGATGCTGCAGGAAAATCGTGAGGGGCGGGTGGCCCCCCGGCAGTCCAGCTCCTTCCGGTTATTGCAGGAAGCCTTGGAAGCTGAAGAGAGAGGTGAGGGGACCCAGGGGCTTGAGTAAGGGACGATGTCCTCCAGGACACCACAGGGCCCTGGCTGGACATTTTATTGAACTAGACGGAGCCCTGGTGTGGCGCTGTAGGATAATCACTGGACTGCTAACTGCAAGGCCAGTGGTTGAAACCCACCAGCAATTCCTTGGAAACCTTGTACAGGGTCCCTACGAGTAGGAATCGACTTGACAGCACATAACAGCAACACAATATTGCTTAAGGGCCTGTTAGGTGCTCAGCACAGTACTGGACACCAAGGGATGACAGACATGGAGAAGATGAAATTCTTGCCTTTAAGGTGCCTACAGTCCAGCAGGGGTCACCCAGAAGGTATAGCAGTGCCAGCTGTGGTCAGAAGAGTCCAGGGGAAATGATGGAGACCAAGGAGGCCCATGGGGCTAGGTCTCCACGGAGGGCTTCTAGGAAGACGTTGTTGTTGTTAAGTGTCGTGAGTCAGTTTCAACTGATCGCAACCCTGATAGGGTTTCCAAGGAGCAACTGGTGAGTTTGAACTTTCAATCTTGCGGTTATCAGTGCGTATCGTACAGTACCATACCAGAGATGGGAGGAAGAGGGGAATTGACCCTTGAAGAAAAATGAAGATTTCAATGAGTGGCCTTAAGATGGTGGTAGGGAGGACTGTGGAATGTGGGCACTGCCAGCAGGAGAGCTTTGAGTGTGGGCAAGAATAAACAGCTTGGCCTGGCAAGTGTCTTGTGTGCCAGGCTAAGGAGCCTTGTAACTGGGAGAGTCAGACAAGAAGCCATTCCAGGGAGTGCATACGATGTTAAAATGAGCATCACACATGCTGCAGGCTCTGGTTAGTCCTTCATTGTATTCACTGGACAACATTGCGTGCGCCTCTGATGGGCCAGATGTGTATGGAGCTTGGGCTGGAAAGGGGCCCTGATGTTAGGTTTACCGACCTCATAAGGAAGAGCTCACAAGGAAGGGGACAGTGGTACAGGGCTTCACAGACATTTAGCACAATTGCTCTGATGGCTGTGTATGTGTGTGGGATGGGGAGCTGGGTGAGGAACTGGGGGGCATGTCCTAATCTAGGGGAGAGAGAGAGGAGTGCTTTGTCTGGAGAGGATGGAACAGGTTCAGGTGAAGTAGTTGAGAGGCACACTGACCAGTACTGGCAGCTGGTTCCAGCTGTGACGTTTAGAGTTTACATCCTGGAGACAATCACAGAGATGGAGGTGAGGAGAGGGCACAGGCAGAAGGTGGTGGAGTCAAGGAGAGAGCACATGGATGAGACTCACCAGGGGAACCAGCACGTCCTAGGGGGTAGAAACAGACAGTGTTTGCCCAATAAAAGCTGGCTTCATCTTAGCTTTGTTGCACTGCTGGTGTGCAATAATGCATATGAAAGTCCTTTGAAAACTGAAAAATAAGGTATTGTGATGCTGTTTTATAATTATAATCTAATATTATTATCTATTAATATCATCATTGCGGCATCACAAGCTAGGGAAAACCTGCTATCCCTGATATGTCAGATGCGGCATGCGGTGCCTTGTCAGGTTTACCTTAGCTGAGCACACTCAACCCTGTGTGCTCTATGTGGCTGACCAGGCCCAGCCAAGGTTTCTGGCACAACTTCTCATGCCCAATGTTACTTTAAAAGTTTTTTAACTCATTTATTTATTTTTCCAGTCAATTGCTAAGTCTGTTTATCTCAAACATCTTTTTGCTCCAAAAGTACACTGGTTCAGTTTACCAGTATTAGCCCAATAGTGCCCTAATTTATCAGCAGTGTCCTGCCTTCCTTTTAAAAAAATTTTTATTGTGGATTATATGGGTTTACATGGGAAAACATCAGCTTCACATTCATCCTATCGTATTTCACTTCATTGTAATGATTACAATCCCCTCCATGTATCATCAGATAACCAAAGGGTACATCCCACAGGCCCCCTCCCCTGCTCATGCCCAATGTTACTTTAGAGGACTGTGTATAAGTGTGTCTTCTACAAGGTTCCTGGGACCTTGTGGGAAGTAGGTGGGGGACACACAATGAAATACAGCCTGGATACTGCTGCCGATTGACAAGTTCTACTTGTGTGTCTGCCTCCCACCCCTCCCAGGTGGCACGCCTGCCTTCCTGCCCAGCTCACTGAGCCCCCAGGCCTCCCTGTCCACTGGCAGAGCCCTGTCCACTTCTCCAAAGCTACACACATGTGAGAAGTGCAACACCAGTATCGCGTGAGTACCAGATGGCTGGGGGTTGGGGAAGTGGGGGCACACCCTGGAAGAATGGTACTAGGCACAGGATGTCTCAGAAAGGGCCTTTAGTCAAGGACTTCCCTGACAATGCCACCAGGACCCTAGAAGGGAGCATGTGCCCCAGTGGTTTCTGGGGTGAGTTATTTTCATTCTTCCACCAGAGGTACCTTGGAAGAAAGGCCTGGTAATCTACTTTAGAAAAACCAGTCATTGAAGACGCTATCGTTCATCATTCTATTCTGACACACACTGGGTTTCCATGAGTCGTTTGTGTTTTATTTATTTATTTTGAAAAAGAAGGCCTGCACTGGCTTCTTTCTGTAGTATCTCTTCCTCCCTTCTCCCAGACTTGCCCCTTCTCCTCTTCTCCTTTTCTACCCTTTTCTCCTTTCTCAAAGGAGTAAAGAAATGCTCCTGTTTTTTGGTTTCTCCTCAGTCATCTCAAAGCCTCTGGAGACCTGCCTTTAGAGGCATCCTGGAAAATCTTGCTCTTTTCCGATCTCTCAACCCCTTTGGAACAGGCTGAATTTTCCAGAGGTGGGCTTGGTTTTTCTCAGTGGGTGGCATTATAATGTAATACATTCTCTGGGAAATCACTGAGAGGTCCCCAGGTGCATTTCTTCAGAGCCCAGTTTGAGGGTCAGGTGACTCAACTCTATGTAAATCCTGTCACCTCGCTGGGTTTCCTTTTTTTCACCCACAGAATGGGATGCACTCTAGTCTCCCTGGAGCTCTGAGATAAGGATAAGGAGACTGTGTTGAAAAAGAACACGTTTTAGATGCTGGTTCTTAAGCATGCATGAATCCACATCACCTGCAGGACTTGTGAGAACACTGAGTGTTAGACCCCATTCCAGAGTTTCTGATTCAGAAGGCACGTTGGGCCTAAGAATGGGCATTTCTAACCTGTTCTACGTGACCCCCACCTGAGCTGCTGGTCCTGGGACCACACTTTGACAGGCTGCTCCAAAAGAATCAATGCTCTGGGACTGGTGTATACTGGCCTTTGTGTGGGGAAGGATGGCTTCTTTGATTAGCCACCCTGGTGGTAGAGGGTGTGTGTATGTATGGTTGTGGGGTATGGTGGGAAGAGGGGAGAGCCAGATTTCTGGGGAGGTTTTGGCTCTTCCACAGGCTCTGACTTTGGGTTGGGGACCTACCTAAGGCTGATGTGTCACCCCTGGCCTCTCTGTCCTTGAGGCTAATGACTCTCCTATCCTGCAGGAATCAAGCTGTGCGTATCCAGGAGGGTCGGTACCGCCACCCAGGCTGTTACGCCTGTGCAGACTGCGGCCTGAACCTGAAGATGCGCGGGCACTTTTGGGTAAAGGATGAGCTGTACTGTGAGAAGCATGCCCGCCAGCGATACTCGGCACCCTCCACTCTCAGCTCCCAGGCTTGAGGGCTGAAGTTGTGCTCTCTGCCTCACCTTTGACAGAGACCTGGGGCACCTTCGGGCCAGGAGCCAGGTCAATAGCAAGTTGGCATGGAAGGGGTGATGGTGGGTGGTGGCTCTTATATGAACTAAGTTTTGGGCCTGAAGTCCCTTTATCCTCACTGGGTGAGGCCAAAGGCTGGAATCTATTATCTTGGGCTGTGAGTGCTGAGGGCACCCTTACTACCCCAGGCCTTTCCTAGACACTTGCAAACTCAAGTCCTACAGGACTGTGCCATAGTCTGGAGTTGGCATTGCTTTCAGTATCTGGGTATACCAGGTGGTAAGCAGGGTGGAACAAGGAGATGGGCATCTGGAAGAAAAGGGTGGGCTAGAGGTTAATGGTCTTCACTGTGTAAAATTTTCAAAATATGAGTTCTATAAATATATATACATGAACAAAACCAAGTAGATGTTCTCCCCTTCCCTTTACTTCCCTGCCTTAACCCCAGGGTATGAGCTGCTCCCTTCTACTAGGTTGTTGTTAAGTGCTGTTGAGTCGGTTCCAATCCATCGGGACCCTGTATAGGGTTTCTAAGGAGTGGCTGGTGAGCTTGAATCACCGACCTTGTGATTCAAACCAACTTTGCAGTCCAGTACATTAACCCACAGTGCCACACTAGAACTGGTAGAGAGTCTGTATTTTACATGTTTGCTTGTTTTTTCCTTCTCATTTTCCCCTCCCTCAAAATCCCTTAAAGTCATTTTGTTGTACATAAGGTTGCTATGAGTCGCAATTGACTCAACGACACCTAACAACAACAACAACAAAATCCCGACCTTAGCCGGTAACCCCAGTCCCTGACCTTTCCCACTGGAGATGCTTGCTCCTTTTAGGTTGAAGATTGTGCTCTTTTGTAAAGATACCTGCTTTCCAAGAGGAATACCTCTACTTTAGCAGTAATGACTTTCTTCCTGAGAGGCTGGGGGGCAAGCTCATGCCCAACTAGCTCTGGTGTACCCAACAAACTTCTATGTGCCAGGTGGGCAAATCCTGTCCAGGATGGCCTGATGTGTCTGAAGCCCTCTGTGCCTGTTAGCCTGGCCCAGGAGGGTAGGGATGGGGTCTCAGTCAACTCCAACAGCACCGCACCATCAGGGACCACCACCAGGGGACTCGACTCTAAGCCAGGGTTGAGCTGACCTCCCACCTCTTTCCTGTGATACATACTGCTTGCTTCATTGCTGGTTTGTTTGAAACACACCTGCGTATGTCTGATGCTACCTGTCCTGCTCCTGGGGGTGTTTAGCATCAGAAGGGAGGGGTCATTGGTTGCTTGCCAGCCCCAGGATTTTTGGTCTGATCCACCCATTGTCCCCAGTCCTAATCCCAGGTGATGCTGGCCTTCCAGATTCCCCTATCAGCTCTGGGGATGGGTGGTAGCCACAGATGTATTTTCACAGAGAAGATCAAAGCTGTGCTTCAGAAGGAGCCAGTGGCTGGTCTGTGACGACAGTGTGTGCTATCTGGCTTTTTACAGAAGGAATCTTGGCGGCAACCTTGCTTGTATTGCCTCTTCAGGCACCTGTTGATATAATTTACACCTTGATATAATTGTCTCACCTTTTGCCTGGATGGCTGCCTGAGAAACGGGCCTTTATTTTTATAGAAAAGATCAAGGCTTGTCTCTGGCTCAGGAGTCTGTCTGGCCAGGAACCGTCTGCTCAGTAATGGAACACCCTCCCTGGCGCCATCTAGAGTCAGATGTAGCCCACGGCAGGGAAGAATGCTTCACAAAAGAAGGAATTCATGCTTGCACAAATAAGGAGGTTCTAGCAAGTGAGACTATGGATACAGCACTTTCCTTGCTTCACCAGAGATCATAGCCCAGTAAATGACAATCAGACTGGCATGAATAAAATCATATGTGGTAGTGTGTACTAAGGGCAAAAGTGAAAAACACAGCAGTCTTGGTGAGTCCAGTTTGGCTCTTATAGACAGAGAAAGTGGCTAGCTCATTGGTCAGGAGTGAGGGAAGACATCAATCTGACTTAGTGCAAGAAGAAAGCTCAGTCTAGGACAGTGGCCAAAGGGGATCTGGAGATAAAATTTAAAAGGTCAATGGGCCAAATTATAGAGCAGCCTTTAATGCCAGAAGTAGTTTGAGGCATGGGGGCGGGGGGAACACTTTGAACATTTTAAAGGAGGACCATGGCAGATTTAAAGGGTGGATTGGACAATTAATATGGTCTGATAGTTGCTTGTAACAAACCATGTACCTGACTGACTATATGGAAGTGGAAGTGTAAATGGGGAGAGGGGTATGCCTTTAAAAGGGTTCTGGATGGATTCTGGGGGGCTTGCTTTTTAGCGGTGGTAACCACATCTCTCAGGGCCCCACCCCCTAGTTCCAAACATACAGAAAGGGGGCACAGGGGGAGGAGACTACCCATATCAACAGGCACATATCCAGCTGAGCTGGAGAGTGAACTGCTTTGAAATATGAAATTTTTAATGAAACCAGTTTGTTAGTAGAGGGTTTAGTACAGTCTTTGATCTCTTATCCCTGCCTTCGACTGCACCCCAAGCCAGTGGTGAACACCCACCCCCTCAACCCTAGACATGTCTGTGTGTGTGTGTGGGGGGGGGGACAGACAAGAGACTGTGCTATAGCCGTGTGTCTGGTCCAGTGTTGACTTCTTTCCGAATTTGGGGGAATAACTCAGAGATGACAGACTAGAGTTAGAAGTGACCCGAGTCCCTTCAAATGGCTAAGCACTGGCCTACTAACTGAAAGGTTGGTAGTTTAAACCCATTCAGAGGCACCTTGGAAGACAGTCCCGGTGTTCTACTTCTGAAAAATCACCCACTGAAAAATCCTGTGGAGTTCTATTTTGACACATATGGGGTCGCCTTGAGTCAGAATCAACTTGACAGCAACTAGTTTGGTTTTTTATCAGAGATGGGAAAGAGACTTTCCCAAAGTAATACAGCTAGATACTAACAATGGCTAACATTTTAGAGTGCTTTTCAAGTGTGAGGGGCATTTTAAGTGTTTTAAACTCTCACCCTCACAGTTCTGAAGTAGGTATTGCTATCATCCTTGCTTTATAGACGAATAAACAGAGGCACTATGAAGTTAAGTAACTTGTCTACGGACATCTAAGCTAGAAAGGAGATGAGCTAGAAATGGAACCCAGAAGCCTGCTTCCCCAGTTTCTGGTTTGCCAAGTGGGTGCTCTTGCCCCTCTGTGCCCAGAGACAGCCTTCCAAGAACAGCTCAGGCTATGGCCCCTCCAGCCCTCTCTGACTTGGCAAGTGGTGCTGATGGGTTCTTTGACATTGCCCTTCCTCCCACAGGGCTTGCTTGGCGCTGAGCTTGCAGGAAATGCACTTCCTGAAGCTGGGACTTCCCCACAGAGGCTGTAAAGCAGCTGGGCATCCTTGGCCTTGGCCTGAGGCCAGGCCTCTGTGTCCCACATGGGCATTGACCATGTGGCTGTGCTGCCCCTCCCTTCTTTCAAGCATCACTCAAAGGGAAATGATTCCTGTTTCTGGGTGACTCAAATGGTTACATGCTCAGCTACTTAACTGAAAGGTTGGTGGTTTGAATCTTACCAGAGGTGCTTCAGAAGAAAGGTCTGGTGATCTACTTCTAAAAAAGTCAGACATCAGAAATCCTACAGAGCATAGTTCTACTCTGACACATATAGGACCGCCATCAGTTGGAACTGATGTAACAGTAACTGGTTTTTAATAAACTGATGAAAAAAAGACTGAAATCAGGCAGGGGTCATATAGCCTTCTGGGTGGTAAAGGAAGGGGGCTGACTGCCAGTATGGGAGGGAGACACTGAGGCCCCCCTCCCCCCCCCATGTTGGATCCCCACACTGACTGACTTGAGATCTCTGGGCCCACTCTGCTCATCTGCAAAGGGGCAAGGGGCCCATGGCCTAGTAGGGAGTGTGTGTGTATGTATGTGAATGGGTGGGGGTGGAGGGGAGTGCTTTTGAGCCACACACAAAGCCTGTGCTGAGACACTGCATTCCTGCTGGCTGGGCTTCCTGTTTCCAGATGCATTCCTGCCCCAGAGTCACCACGGAGACTGCTTGGAATCCAGCCCCACATTCTCCAAATTCAGGGCGGATCTGGCCAGGGCTCCCTCTTTACCTCCCACCCTCTCACTTTGGAGCAGAGGAAGCTACCTGACCGGCCCTCCTACTCTTCTACCTAGACGGGTTGGGGTGAGGTCTTTGGGGATTCCGTGCCACATATCCTATTGGATGGGCATAGAGCAGTTCTTGTCAGGCCCAGCATTCTGAGTTTCTCTGTATCTGAAAAAAGTCAGGAGGGTACTGTTCAGGAGGATGGGGACAGTCCATTGACCCATAGTTAGCAGAGAAGGGCCTGGGACTGAAACTCAAAAGACATTAACTGATGCATAATTCAGATACTTGACTCTCATTCCACTAGTTCAAGGCTGGTAGCGTAGCGGTTACGAATCGGGCTGCTAACTTCAGGGTCAGCAGTTCAAAACTACCAGCTGTTCTGCGGGAGAAAGATGAGGCTTTCTGCTCCCGTAAAGATTTACAGCCTTGGAAACCCTGTACTGGGTCATTATGAGTTGGAACCGATTCCATGGCACATCACCACCACCACCACCACCACCACCAGTTCAAGACTTGGCTGTGGGTCTCAGTTTCCCCATCATAAAAAGTTAGGCTCCTGCATCCCTGGGTGGTGTAAATGAAAATTTGGAGATTCAAATCTATGCAGATTCAAATCTATGCATATTTGGAGACCTGTTTCCTAAAGATTATTGTTGTTAAGTGCCATAGCAACCCTATATAGGGTTTCTGAGAAGCAACTGGTGAGCTTGAACCACCAACCTTGTGGTTCAAATCAACTTTGCAGTTCAGCGCAGTAAACCACAGTGCTACACCAGGACACTTCCTAAAAATACCCATTGAAAAATCTATGCAGCACAGTTCTGCTCAGGCACACGTGGGGTCGACATGAGTGGGAATCCATAACTGGTTGGTTAGGAAAGACCAAGGGCCTGGAGGGAGTTGGCTGGCTACCTTCACTCTCTCAGTTAACACCTAAGTCCTCCCAGTGGCTCAGGTGCAAATAAGCACGTCCACCAGCTCCCTTATCTACCCTAAAGGTCCTGCTGTGATATTTTTCAGCCCTGTTCCCTTCCTCTGGAGAAGGAAGCTTCTTTAAAGCCACTAGCCCCTGTCTGGTCTCTAGGTTGTCTCCCCTTCTGCAGCTGCCTGGGCTCCCAGCCCGCCTTAGGAAGGGGATAGAGTCCACTGGTTGGAAGAGGGTTGGGTTGGGCAGGGGAGCATTAACAAGTTGGCCCCGCTTTCAGCTTACTCCCCCGTCCCAACGATTCAGTTCTTTCCCAGATCACCACGGACCGTTAGGGTACCGGGTTAAGATATGGTGGTTGTGGTTGTTAGGTGCCGTCGAGTCGGTTTTGACTCATAGCTACCCTATATAGGGTTTCCGAGGAGCGGTTGGTGAGTTTGAACCGCCTACCTTGTGCCCGAGTGCTTAAACTACAGCCCCACATGAGACCGTTTAGATCTAGCCCAGGACAATAGTTACGTGCCAGACTACAACTTCTCGCTCTGCAGTTGTGGTAAAGGATTTCCCTTCCCCTGTCCCATTTGAGTCGGAATGCACTCGATGGCAATGTGTTTGGTCTTTTGGGTTTGAGCTCACTTGATCCAAGGACACCAGAAACAGACTAGGTTAGAGTGGACAGGAATCATTACCCGCTTTTTTTTTTTTTTTGCACATGATTTCTGAGAGGTTGAGTGACTTGCCCCAAGCCAAACAGTTGAGAGCGGTAGGAGGCCGAGTCCGGGTCAGCACTCTTCCCACACCCTGCACGTGGGGTTCCACTTCCTTCCGGGCTCCTGTCCAGTCTCAACCCTCCCCCCCCCACCTCCCCCCGGGCTCCATTTGGGTGGCAGGAAGACTAGACCCTGCGTGTGAACTGGGAGGCGGGGTGACTCTACGTCCGGAGCCCGACAGCGTCCCCAGGTCCCCAGGCCCCCAGGCGGGGACCAGTTTTTGAGGGGGGATGGGAGACGGGACAGAGCGCGGGACTGCCCGGGTCGAGGTGGGGGGAACAGCGGATTGGAGCTCTTATTTTTATTCCAGCCAGGGTGATGGGGGGGTGCTCCCTAGTCCGCGCCTTCGAGGTCCTCGCCCCGCGTCGCTTCCCCGAAGCGGCATCCTCTTCTAGCTTTCAGTCCACATCCGCGTTCCCCTTCCAGCTCTCAGCCCACATCCGCACGCCCCCGCTCCACCCCGCGCGCACACCGGTCCTCTCCTCCCGCCCCTGCCCCGCCCCTCCCCCGTTTGGGAGTGTCCGGGGCCGCGCCCATCAGGGTCGCGACTAGTGAGCTAAGCTGACCACAGACCGACTGCGGGACGCGAGCCGAAGTCACTCCGTCGGGCTGCAGTGGGGGCCGGGAGCCGGGCCATGCTGGGCCGGCGGCGGGTCTTCGCGGTGGAGCCGCGCGGCGGCCCAGGTGAGTCGCCCCTGTCCCCTGCGCCGACCGGCGTCGGGTCTGGGCCTTAGGATCCTGCAGGCGAGGTCCCCGAGCTCGGACCTCTGTGGACTTGTCCTTTTCTTCCCGCCCCTGGAGCCGTCTCCCGAGCCTTCGTCAGAGTGCTCCTGGGAAGCTCCTCAATGTCCTCCTTGGCCCATCCGGCACACCTCGTCGAGAGGCACCCTACCTCTCAGTTTGAGGGGCCGAGTGATTAATTTGAAGACTCTCTGGGTTGTAACGTTGAAGCAGCTACTACGTCCATCTCGGGTCCACTTCTTTTAAATTCCCATCTGTATCCTTCCTTGCCCCATCAGAAGGCTGTCTGAATTCATCTGACCCCCCTTTCCCCAGCTAGCTGCTCAGAAAAAGCCCCGTCCTTGGCAGACCCCTTTCCAAAGAGAGCCCGCCCTGCAGGGGTGTTTCCTGGCTGACTTCCTTGCCTAGGAAGGCCCGGATTTGAATCCCACCTTTGTAGTTTAGCTGACGACATGACTTAAAGCAAGCTTGCCTGCTCTCTGATCCTTGGGTAGTTCATCATTACATTTCGAGTTCTGTAGAATGTCCTGACAGACATGATGACAAATGGGCACGGATGTATTTCCCCTTTTAGTTCCCATTCTTGCACTTATTTATTTATTTTTAAAGAAAATCTTCAGTATTTCCACTTAAAAGAACAAAAGGCCCAAACAGTTATAGCTGCTGTTATTTTTACCACCATCCTTTAGAAGCACAGAAGAGACTTGATCTTGCCTCCTGATGGCCCTAGGCCTCAAGAGCCTCAATAAGGCAGAAGCTTATTCAGTTCTTTTTCCCTTCTGCCCAGCCATAATGCCTCTTCCCACTTGGTGGGCAACTGAAGAGTCAGCAGCTCCCCCTACCCTTATGATTTGAAGGTCTTAGGCTGATTCTAGTTGGGAAGCATAAAGGCACCTGTAAAGAAAGGGTCCACCATCTTACAAGGAAGATGGGCCATTCAAGAAACTGACGGACATGACCTAAAAGGGTTTTGCCCACCAAACAGCTGGTTAGTTGTTAACAATGACTGTTGTATAGGGAACCCATCTTCCAGGCAGAGTCAGAGAGATAGCTTAGTGAGATCCTGGTTGTCTGGCTCCTCCCTTTACTTCTCACCTGGGATACTCCTCCCTGGGGGAATGCTGCCAGCTGCCAGGAATGCTGGGGGCGTTGGGGGCGGTCTTCGTGGCCTGATACTGAGTCTCTTTGCAGATAGAGTTGGTGAGGATCTGGCGTGCGGGTGTGTAGTGCCTGGAGTCTCCAGCACCTACAGACGGATTCAGGACACTGCTGATTGCTGTTTTTCATTAGACTCCTGGATTGGAGATGGCCAGCTGAGAGAATCTGAAAGACCAGTGCCACTTCTGAAACTGTCCTCCCGGGACTCAGGAGTGGAGATGGCAGTTGGGGGTAGCTCTCCGACCCCCTCACCTGGCCTTTCTCAGGACTCTCTGGACTTTGTTCCTATGGAGGGCTCTGAGTTCTCAGCCCTTGGTGTCATGGAGCCTCCCGCCCAGCTCGGCAGGCTCCTGGCCAGCCGTAAGCTGGAGCAGGTGCTAGAGCGCTCTCGCTGGCTCCCAACTTCCCCTGCCAGCTCCTCAGGACAGCACTGTGTTAGCAAGCCTGAGTGTGAAGTGCCCCCGTCTGAACAGGAGACCACCACAGAGGGGGAAGCTGGCCTGGATGAAGCCGAGGCGGTAAGTGCCACTCTCAGGCCAGGCAAGACTGGGATCTTCAATGGTGGCCCCCCACCCCTTGTTCTCCCTGAAGCTCTCTCGGGGTGGGGCATTCCTTACCTCTAATTGATGGGTTGTATCACAGCTGCTTGCCTCACCCCACTTCCAGTTGTGTGTAGCCACCCCCACAGAGGAGGTGGGTAGGATTGGGCCCTGCCTGGCATCATGCCTGGCTGGGCACTGAGGAAGCCAATGGTGGTGGTGGGGTGGACAATTTGTGTTCCCCCTCTGCCTGCGCTAATGGGTGAGTAGGCTGGCTGCCTAGGGTGGGAATCTGGGCGAATTCAGAAGCCTTGACTACGTTTATTGTGTCTTACAGGTGGAGAGTTTGGAGCCTGAAGTTTGGACCTGCCTCCCAGGGCACGGTCTTCGCTACCTAGAACACCTGTGCCTAGTGCTGGAGCAGATGGCGAGGCTCCAACAGCTCTATCTTCAGCTGCAAACCCAGAGGCCTGCCAGGGTGAGGAGCCAGGCCAGTGAGTGGGCAGGCCTGTGGGGCAGGCAGGGGTTCGACCCCTGGCCTCATGGCTCCCTTGGAACAGTCTCAGTCTTTTGTTTAGACCCTAATTACCCCTCTTGTGCACAGGACTTGGAAGAGGAGGAAGAACCTGTCCTGGCTCCTTCACCTTCCCCCTCATATGCCCCAAGTTGTGTGGTGCAGGTGCCATGGGACATGCTTAGCCAGACAAAGGAGACAGGTGAGGGGCAATTGCAACTGTGTCTCCTCTCCCCTGCGCCCTGTTTGCCGAGGGCATCACTCGCATTCCCTCTTGAAGCCACCCTAGTGTTGGCCCTGGGTAACCTGACTCTCTTTCTAAAGGGAAAAAAGCAGCTTCATGCCCCAAAGTGGGGGTATCCAGCACAATCCCTCCTACTCTGCCAGAGACCCCAGCAGAGCCTACTCACACGTTTCCATCCTCCCAGAGACACAAGGTAGGTGATGTATGTGTGAAGTGGGAGGCAGGTGAGAAGATAAGATGGAGATGGGATGTGTGGAAACCCCTAAGTCCAGAAACTTTGGGAAGATGACAGTATTCCTGTCTGGAGCAGGTGGCTTGGCCTGGCTGCAGGGAGAGTTGTCCCCGGAAGCTTGGTTGAGGGTATGTGTAGGGGCAGTGGCTCTGTGGTGATCCTTCACCCTTTGCTCAGCTGGATCTCTCCCACTGGGACAAGGTCAAGGTCCTGCTCAACCGGATCCGCTGGAGAAGCTCCCGACACCCTGAGCCCCCTGCCCTTCCTGATGGCCCTGCCCCCAGGTGAGTTCTGTGGTCCAGCCCAGTGTAGGGTAGGGAGCAGAGACTGATGAAGCAGAATGCTGGGCTTTTACTTCCAGGTGTTGTCTTTTTCCCTATGAACTTTGAGAGACAGCCTTGCAGAGGATGCTGGAAGAGAACCAGAAGTAGTTACAATGCTCCATTTATAGATGAGGAGGCTGGTGGTTGAGGTGGTGGAGGGAAGTCACTTTCCCAAGGCCACCAAGTATGTCCGTACAGAGCCAGGACCAGGATAGTGGAAAGTTCTTCACCCCTACCCAGTAAGCCCTCATCCCCCAATGCTGAAACTTGCGTCAGCTCCTAGGAACTAAGGGAGTGAGGAGGGAAGAAGTGGGTAGGGGCACAAAGGCTATACAGAGGGTGAAGTCCAACCTGCTTGGAGAGTTAAGTGCCAGCAATTCTCCAGAGGGATGAAGCACTATGTCAGTTACTATCCCCAGGCTCCCTAGCGCAGATTCGTGTTCTATCAACTGCCATGATTGCTACCTTTGTTTGTTCTTCCTACCTTCAGGCTTTCTATTTTTCCTCAGGATGGAGTCAAGGGACTTCCCTGAAAGGCCTCAGCGTCGCCCCCACCACAGGACCTTTATACCATCATTTGTAGTTAAGAAACAACGAACAAAAAACCTTTCTGTCTGCTAAGACCACCTGGTGCAGGGACATGACCCTGGGTGGAGGGGTACGTGTTGAAGTCATCTGCCTCGCCCTTTGCCCTGTTGTTGCTTCTCGTCACTGCCAAGCCAAGCTGCTGACAACAGCCCTTCTCTCGGAGGCGGGGGCCAAGTCTTTCTCCTCTGAACAGCCTGGCAATGGGGCCTTAGTTCTCTGAGAGGCCCCCAAAGTGGCAACTCCAAGTCTCCTTCCTGTTTGCCAGAAATCCCTGGGTTTATTCAATGTGAACTAACTTATTTATCAAGCATCCACTGAGCATGTTTGGCATGGTTATCTGTCCAGGCCCGACATGTAGCAGCTATGTATTTATGCATGATTTTATATCTATATCGGTGAGACTGTTATTGTTGTGAATTGGCTGGATTCAGCCGTCTTTCCTAGAACCATGCACTCCCGAAAACTGGGTGAGATCTTCTGGGCGAGGTAATCTGTGGAAGGCTAGAACTGACCTTTGTTCGTCAGTGGACAATTCCTGATCTGGGTAGCCACTGGCCAGAGACTGGAGATGCTGGGGCTGTCTCTGCATTGAGTCTTTCCCCTGGAGCAGAGCCCCAAAGACTGCACCAGGAATGGCAGGCTCAGGACAACAGGCTGAGTGGGCATGGAGGACAGGAAAACACCTTCAAGGTCTATTCTCAGCTGTGCTGCTCCATACTAGCTTTTACATGTCAAAGCTGAAACCAGCAACACATATTAATTTTTAGACCTTGAGAAAGTCCCTTAACTTCTATGAGCCCCAGCTTCCCACATAATCTCCCTAATGGGATAATGATGCCTGCCTTACCTACCTCACAGGCTTATGATGATGCTAAAATTAGATTAAAATGTCTTAAACTGCTTTGTGAACAGTTACATGAATAGGTAAGGAAAGGGTTTGGATATTAGAGGGAGGGTAGACTGGACGGATGCTGGAGAGGTGAGAGGATAAGGTAGGAATGGGATTATTCATGGAGATGTATTACTAATGCCAGTGATTAGTAACAAGTTTTTGAGCAAGTCATTTCATTGAGATCTCTTAGGTTTTATATCTGAGAAATAGGACATGAAATCCTCACCTGTGGTGAAATGAATTTATGTGGTCTTTTACCTTAGTTCTTTGGAAACAGTTGAGAGATTCCTTCCCCCCCCCCCATCCCCCAAAGTTCTTAGGTGTGTCCTGTGCCCTAATTAGAGAGTTTGTCATTTTTGTCCAGGTTGATTGACATTTCCTGGGTAAGCGCTAAAGGACTTGATGGTTTGATACTTTTTGTCTGGTCCTGGGGCTGCAGCCAGACTTGTGATTAGTATGTACCTTGCAGGGATTAGTCAACATAATATACAAATGAAGTAACTGTAATAAATATGTAAATTAAATGACTATAGACTAGGCAAATGAAGTGACTGTGGTTCACTGAAAGGATTAGCCAGTTGATACAGGAAGGGCTACGCATTGAAATTTACAAGGAGTCTGCTTATAGTATATGCAGCTAACCCCACAGAGATTTTAGAAAGAAGAAAGGAGAAGTAGAGAGAGGAGCTGAGGAGCCTAAAGAACTGTAACATAGGTCAAAGGCTATAAAACCAGACAGTGAGAGGCCTGGAAGAGTTGGTGGTGATGGCAGAAACCTGCTGTTAGGATTGTATTTAAGAGAGCTGAACAAAGCTGCCTCACCAGCTATGATTTTGGTTGGTTAACAACAGTGGAGAGAGTAACAAGACGTCTGCCCTGAGGGGGCTGAAAAGAAGGCTGTGTGCTGGGAAGGGTGATTCAGGCCAAGAGGAGCCGAGAGAGCTGTCCTGCATTGAACAAGTGAGGGGTGTGCTCTTCTCTTTGGGGGAGCCTTCCAGATGTTGTCTACATGCTTCCTGATCCCAAGTTGTATCCTGTTACTTCCATAATAAACTACTTAACTGTAAGTATGGTCCGTGAGTTGTGTGTGGCCACTGCAGTGATTAAACTCAGAAGAAAAGTAGAGAGTGTAACGGAAGAGATGGCTGGTGTTGGAATTGGCTAAAAAACAAAACAAAAAAGGTTGGAGAGTGGTGGTATGTCTGATCTCCACTTCATAGGAATTAGCCTTTGGCTGTTGATGGTTCTCTCTCCTCCTGAAGTCCTCTAAGAATATTGTACTTGTTTACCTCACTGGGTAGTTTTGAAAACTAAAGGAAGTGCCCATGAGAACTCTTTAAAGGTCTGCCCAAATGTTAGCTGCCGTGACTTGAGTCAGTCCATGACTCAAGTGATCCCACACATAACAGAAACAAAAAACTGCTGCCTAATTCTGTACCATCCCATGATCAGCTGAGGAATCGGACCATTGTCATTTATAGGATTTTTAGATGGGTGGTGGTGAGCTGGGATCAAATCCAGGTCTCTTGCATGGAAGGTAAGAATTTTACTACGGAACCACCATACCTCCATACCTCACTTACATAGTCTAAGAGGTTTATCTTACTGTGGCCTACTTAGGTTCCTTTCTCTTTGTGACTTGAGAAAGGTGGAAAGCTTGGTCTCCAGCATGCAACCAGACAGAAGAGAGGTGTGTCCTTGGGGGTGAGGATGGGTCATTGAATTTTGATTCAGAGGTCTATCTAAGGGACGGCTAGTTTGGCTATGCCTGAGCACCACTTGACGTGGGGGCGCCACTGAGCAGTTTTGTTAATGCAGTACAGCATAACGTCCTTCCTCAAGAACGGTAGGCATCCAACGGCATGGGGGTGGGGGTAGAGAGGGACACCCCACCAACCCCTCCGGGGCACAGAATGATATTCCCAGGCGTCACAAATATGGAAGGCACCTGTCTGAGGTGGCGGGACAATAAGGGGAGGGGGAGGCGTTTCTGCTGATAGGTTGGGCTATCAGCGTGTATTCATCTTGAAATTGGGGGTGGTGGTGGTGCAATTTAGAGATCGTCCTGCATGCTCCTTACCCGTGCTACGCCCCTGGTTACAGACACAGGAATATCTCCTAGAAACGGGCCACTGATCAAGCATCCTAAGTTTCCAGTCTGGAGGGACTAGTTCTCTTGTTACTGAAGTCTTGGGGTCTTCCAGAATGGGGTGGGGATGTTTGCGCTCCCTTTACGTTTGAAGGTCCAGATGTATTTGCACTAGGAACCAATTCTCTGAAGCCTCTTTCTATTCGGAAACTTGAACAAGAGCACTACCGAGGCGCGGCTTCTTAACGCCAATCCGATCGGGGAAGGCGCACTTCCGTTACACAGTTGGAGAATGATGGCAAGCCAGAGTGGGGGAAGGGAGAGGTCGGTGGAGACGGGGGAGGGACCATATCCGGGAGAGTAGCAGCTTCCGACCAGTGGTCGCGCTTCCGGAGAGGCGTTTCCGGCGGCGGCGGCAGCAGCGACTGTGGTGGTTCCGGGTGTCTTTGTCCCCCAGTGTCGCGGCCCTGGCCCGCAGGTGGGTTGGGGGCTTTCCAGCCACCCCTCTGCCTCTTCGCCCCTTCCCTGGTCTAGAGACCGAGCGGGGCAGGCCGCAAAGATGCATTAGTCGCGGAAGGGGCCAAGTCCTCCTTAGGACTGCAAGTCTTGTCTCCCTGGCAACGGCCTCGGCCCTGCGGGCGGGCGGGAGAAGAAACCGCGCGCCTTCGTCTTCCCACGGTGGCCTCGCCGTTGCCCGACCCGGGAACCCCGGCGCCCGCGGCTGCTGAAGCGGGAGCAGAGGGCCAGATAGCGCGGGAGCAGGAGGGCGGGCGCGTAGCGGGATCCGCGTTTCGCGGAGCCGGAGAGCCACCACTTACCCATTAGCTTGTCCAGGGAACGATGAACCGGGCTTCCGGGGGCCCACACCGTCTCCTCTCTGGCTCCAGCCTCCTCCATTTTTGGGGGCCCTGCCGTGGAGCATTTTGGCGGATATTTTTGAATGAATGAATGTCACTGAGGCTCTTCAACACCCCAACCCTCACCTCATCACCCCGAGGGTGGTGTAATTTAGTGAGAGGGAGTCTAGGTTAGTGAGCGAGACCTGGGTGTGAGTCCCAGTTTTGTTACTAATCGGTTCTGTGGCCTTGGGCAAGTGTCAATCTCTCTGAGCTTGTTTCCTTCTCTCTAAAATCATATGACAACATCACTAGGTTATGGTGAGGGAAAACTGGAACAATGCAGTGTGTTACTTAATTTCCTGCTCCCCTTATAGTCTCCCTGTTGTTTTCTCCATTCATTCTTAGTGCAGCCCTCCTGGTTTCCCTAAGATCTTTCAGTTCTTTAAGATTCTTCAATAATCTGTGGTAGATAGAAATTTTCTACATGAGCTGATAAATTTTCTTTTCTGATTGAAGGTTTTTTCCCAAGACTGAAAAAGGACAGCATTCCCAATGTCCCAGTTTAAGCGCCAGCGGATCAATCCGCTTCCAGGGGGACGAAACTTCTCAGGTGATCATGTTTATCCCTATCTGGCTTCATAATGGGTAGCATGTGCTTTGGATTTAGTTTTTTAAAAAGACTTTTGGGGTCTCCCTGATGGAGAAGAATTTGCCGCTGATGTTTTGTAGGAGAATAGATGACCGCAGTTGTTTCCAGTGAAATTCTGTAGAGGAGTTGGTTGGAGTCAGTTTGCCTGTTGGATATACCATATCCTATAGCTAACTCTAGTGTTTACAGAGGTAGGCAGAGTTCTTGAAGATGGTTTTCCTGCTCCCATAGGCGCAGCTTCAACATCTCTTTTGGGCCCTCCTCCTGGTTTGCTCACTCCTCCTGTGGCCACAGACCTGTCCCAAAATGCCAGGCACCTTCAGGTAGGTTGGACATCCTTTTCTAGTGTGCTTTAACCTTTGAAGCGATATCATCATTCATAGATACCTGATGCCCTTTCATTTCTTCTGTCACAGTGTTCAGCATTCTGTTACCCTGGTAATGGGCCAGAATGGGAGTGACCAGACACCCTTTGACTGGGGAGTCGTAACGTTTTGGTTCTAGGGAAGTCTTTCTGGGACCTCTTGGAAATGAAGAACTGGAAGTCCAACAAGTTTGTGACCC